CTTTTTCATGGGATATGAAACTTCTCACTAATGTATCTGCTGGACTAGCTGAGCAGCCAAAGAGCCCAGGTTATGGAGCAAAGAGGAGCTATTATGCTGAGGAACCAGGGGATAACACTCCCCCTTTCAAATCCACATAAGCGTTGCATGACCAAATGGACAGAAACAAGTCTCTATTGGGTCATGGCTTGGAGAAATTGGTCTCGCAATTGACTGTTCAGTATTGGGGTTGGGGAATGAAAGTCTCCCTTGGAAAGTCAGGGCAAGTGCAAAGCCATGAAGCCTAGTCAGTAAGGCTCTGGAGTCATAGAGTTGAGCTTGTGTCCTGTTCTTCCACTTATGAATAGACTCGGGTCCCTTGAATCTCAACTTCCTCACCTGTAAAATGAGGATCATAATTAAATAAGATGGCAGGTTGAATGCCTGAAGTACAGGAAGTGCTCAAAAACATTATCATCTTTTAGTTTGTTTTTTCCTGCATCTCTCTTTGAAAGTCACACTCCAAAATTCTATTTTACACAAAAATGAACATAAAGAGAAAAGAGATATAAAACCACTCACATAAGCTTGCCTTTGTACAAGTACATGGGCATTAACTTCCTGCTGAATTGTGTTGGACACATGTCAGATGTCCCGGGTGAAGCTTTGGAATGTGAGGACAGCTTTGAACATGGTCAAGAAGGGAGACAAGGCCAAGTGAAATTCTGTGACTTTCACCCTGAGGGATGTAGACAGAATAACAAGGAAGAATGAAGGCATGTTTTACTTGGTGTCACCCTTTTCCTGGTGGCTTTTGTGTGGTTTCCTTAGAAGGTTTACCCTGGCATTTTTCAGAAATAGCACAGTTGTTTGAGATGATTACAGGCAATCACCATTTCCCAGAGAAGGAACTATGTTTAGCTCACTGACTGGCTACTCCCGGGTGCCAGGCTGGAGAAAGGTACAGTTGGCCTGTATTCCATGTATCAGATCTCGTAAGATCCAAGAAGCATGGCTTGAGGGCCTTTGGAGAGACGAACCAAGAAAGATGCATTGAGAGGGGAGACCCTGAGCACTCATTTGGGAATCAGAGTGAGTTTTGACAGTGGAACATCAATCCACCCAACAGAAGAGCAAACCTGGGAGCAGGCTCCCCTGACAGATGATGAAGGCACAGATGTCTCTTAACATTCATGTTTGAAACCAACAAGCATTAAGAAATCAAAGGAAGTCATCTGAGTTTAGAGAAGAAGTCTTTCTTGGAAATCTTGATGCCATACTGTCCAATAAAGTAGCCACCAGCCCTGTGTGGCTACTGAGCACTTGAAATGTGGCGAGTCCAAGTTGAGATGTGTTGTAAAATACATGGTTTCAAAGACTTAGTATAAAAAAGTAATATATCTCATTAATTTTTTAAAATGGTAATTACATGTGGAAGTGATAATGTTTTAGATATATGGGTTAAACAAAATATATTCTTAAAATTTGGGGGGAAAGTATAAAAATACTTTATTACAAATAACTTATTATAAATATAACAGTACTCATCACAGATATTTTGAAAAACAGAGACAACCGTAAAGAGAAGAGAAAATTTTCTTTGTATTTCCATCAGGCTGAACTAATCTCTCTAAATATTCTGGTCTGTCTTTCCTTTTTTTCAGTGTGGCTACTAGAAAATTTTAAATGCATATTTGGCTCACATTATGTTCCTATCGAAGTGTTGCTTTAGAATTTCATATGGAATTTTTATTCCTATTTATGACTCCAGTTACTCTTACCTCCACTTTGTACCCTGGTTATGATGATTGTAGGCTACTGACAACTAACACTTACCCAGAACTTTTCTACCTCAGGGCTTTTGCTCTTGCTGTTCACTCTCCCTAGGATGCTCACACTCTTAGACCTTCTCATATCTGATTCTTTTTTCAACTCTCCGATCTTTTCTCAAATGGCTCCCTCTGGAGAGGCCTGCTCTGGCCACAAGTTGATCACATCAACCTGTTCTATTGTCTTTATAGTACTTGTTGATATTGACTGCCTTCCCAACTAACTGTGAGCTCCATGAGAAAGTCTACTATGCCCATCTCTCTATTTCCTGCCCTCAGAATGGTACTGAGCTCATAGCTGGCCAGCAATACTATTTCCTGAATGGCTAAATGCATTACCCTTATCGCTGATTGAAACTGGTCTCTATTCTCAGGGAACACAGGACTTAGGGGGTTCCAAGGACAAAAAATGTCCGCAGATGGAGTCATCGTATTACCATCATGAGTCTTTGTTGCATTTCACTGTGTGTAGTGCTAAGGAAATAACCCAACAGAGGTCGAAAAACAAGATAACCTCAAAGTTTAGACTCACTGTTTACCCATAGCGACGGATGGTTGTTGAAAAGGCTGCTCCTTTGTACTGTTCTGTTTTTGAAAAACAGATGAAACTTTCCAAAGACTGTGATTATGGGCAGGATCAGGGCATATATTTCTAGCTGTGGAAGAGCCTAAGTGAAAAGATAGTTTGAGTCCAAAGGGCACATGTTTCCAGAAGCTTTTAAGAGGAGACTGACCTCTCCATATATGACTAGATTACAGTGTGGTTGTAGACCATTGTGTGGAGCACATGCTCATTTTTGTTTGTATATAAATGTGTGTGGGAAAGACAAATACATTCCGAATGGTTCATCTTGACTGCTTCAGGGTTGTAGAGAAGGGTAGCATAATAAAACATGATAAATATTTTCTGCATAGACCTCCATATTGTCTTATTTCTTGTAATAACCACGGATAGAGTTTGTGCTTTCAAAAATAAATAAAGTAGATTTTAGAAAGAAAATTTTAAAAAGAAATATCAGAAAGCTTCCTTGTACTTGATAGAAGGTACTTCTCACATCTTGGCTTTTTTTTTTTTTTTTTTTTTTTTATCTCAGTATGTGCCTCAGGCCAGCAACCAGTCCGGTATCAAAAAATAGGAGGTAGAGACTGATCTCACTTTTGGAGAATTTGATGATGCCATGGCTCCCTGAGTGCTAACCATGTGCGCTCACATATCCCAACTCTTGCTATAGGACTTACTTATCCTCTTTAATTGAAAGGGTACCCTTTATTGAGGGCACCTATTATAAATGACAGAATTACATTATTTTTTAATCAACCCTCAATAGGTAAGCAATATTATCCTCACTTATCAGATGTGGAAATTGAAGTTCAGGGAGGTTAGATGAATTGCTCAAGGTCACAGAGCTAGTTAGAGGCAGAGACCAACTTCGAACCTAGCCCTTTCCAACTTTTTGTCCAACTCACCAGCATTTGCTGTCTCTTTCTAAGGGATAAGATGTAAGGAAATGTTTTGCAACTGGTTCCACAGATGAATTAAACTCTATTCTCAATGGAAGCCTAATTCTAGACACCTGTGAAAGGCTTCTGATCACTAAAAGCTTTTCCCTAACTGGCCTTCCATGGAGCCTGAGAGTCCACTAATAGAATCAGTCCTCTTGGGTAACGCTCCACTCTCCAAGGACAAGGACCCTTCCAAATGGGTAACATGTAACATCATTATAAATCTTGAAGACCGTCATGTAAGTTAGTTATCAAGAAAATATACCTAACAAGCTTCCAAATGAATGAGACACAGGGCTGGTACGATTTGATGGGGTGTGGTGAAGGGATAGTGATAGGGCAGTCAGGAATGTGCTACAGGGCTGTCATTGTGGAACTGTGGACACCTAACAGGCACAGAGAACCCAGATGTGGGGAAAAAAGGTGGCACTAGCGGCAGATATCACCATCCTGACCTGGCCTGAGCTCCATCACTAAGTTGACCGCTCACGAGTTAACTCGGGTTTGCACTTGCATTAGCTATTTCAATTTTTGAAACTCAGGATAATTTAGGATTATTGCATTTGTGACTCTGCCCTGAGGGTCAAAGTTTGAAAAACAGCATACCGTTCTATACTCTTAAAGTAGCTAGCGAGTGGGTATCTGCTGGTTCAAATGAGTGCAGCTCAGAGCCTAACACTTCTTCTGGTACTTCTAAAAGAGCTCCTGCCCTGGCCGGTTTGGCTCAGCGTCGGCCTGCGGTCCTGAGAGACCCGGGTTCGGTTTCCGCTAAGGGCGCGTACCTCGGTTGCAGTTTGTCCCCGGCCCTGGTCGGTCGTGCGGGTGGCAGCCACTTGATGTGTCCCTTTCACATCGATGTTTCTCTCTCTCTCTCTGTTCCTCTCTCTCCCTCCCGCTCTACCTGAACAAAAAATGGAATAATGTCCTCGGTTGAGGATTTAAAAAATAATAATAATAATAAAATAAAAGAGCTCCTTAGATTGATTCACCTTTTAGGCTTTCAGAGCAACTAAAAGACCACATTTTAGAAAAAATAGTCACTGGTACAAAAAAAAAATCTAACTAGAACGTGTAAAGTGTGTGTTTGAAAAGGTGATTGCTATACAGTATGCCACACCAAAAAAATCACTAAAACATATAATATGTATAAAATATAATATGTAGCAAATATGTACAAAGTTTCCTTTAAGTTCATTATTATAAATGACATATACTGAAGTTTATTTAGATTGTTTCACTTTCATACGCAATTACGAAAAACTTGCCGGTGACATGAGACAACTTCTGCATAAAATTGCCGGTCAGCAATGTGTAAGGCAATGGATAAGCACAAAGCAGACAAACCTGGCGCATGCGTGGCTGGTTTCCCATAGACTGCAATACCCGTCTCAGGTTCAAGTTCTGCAAATGCTACAGTTTTTTACAAGGTCACTGGGATATAAGACACCATGGCTCAATGAATGGAAATGAGTCACCCCATCAGGAAGACGATTCAAAGAACATATTCTCCGAGGCGTCTGCTCAGAGTGTCTTTCTCAGCCTCTGAGGGCCAAGAAGTAGCTTCAGGATATTTGTGGGGTTGGTTTACAAAACGAATGGATCTTATCTAGTTATGGATTTCTGGAAGCAACCTGAACAAAAATCTTGTCTTCTTTCTTTTTAAATGGGATGTGCTTTTTCTTCCCACAGAAAAAGCGCACATTGAAGGGCTCCATTGAACTCTCCAGAATCAAATGTGTCGAGATTGTGAAAAGTGATATTAGCATCCCTTGCCACTATAAATATCCTTTTCAGGTAAGTCCATCATGCCCGAGGGCACTTGTTCCTCGTAGCTCATATGATGGTTGAAATCCTCAGTCTTTGTAAGAGAAGGTGAGACAGGAATGACTCTCATCTAGCTTTAGAACTCAAACAAATACCGGAAGGAAGCTGCCGGGTTCCTCCAATCAATTACACCTTCATTCACTCATTCAACGATTAAGCACAAAACCTTGAAAAAGTTGTCATTCCTCACTCCCCTTTCCCTTATGTCTTCCCTACCTCAAGGAAAGTCCTAATTACTTTGCTTCTGGAGGGGGTTGGGGGGAGAAACTACTCCCAAGGGCCCCAAGCCTAATGTTGTTTAAGTGCAATTTACATATGACTTGGGGTGACTGATTGCAGTTCTCCGTTAGATTGCTTGGGGGTTCTGGGGTTAAACATCTTTTGTTTTTAGGCTGTGACATTGCCTAATCTTATTACCACTCTTGGCATCTGTGGCCCTAAGGGATCGGATAACTCCTTGCACATCCTAAAATACCATTCTTGTTTGACAATCTGAGTGGCATAAAAGAGGACTTTTGTTCTACTAGAAAGGTGACTTCCATGGGTTGGAATTTTTAGGGCTGAAAGTAAAAGGAATAACATGTATTTTCCTGTCATTAAAATTAAGATTCCAATCACAAATGAATGCATGAAAAAAACTGGTGAAATTCAAAGAAGTTCTGTAGTCTGGTTAACAGCAGTGGACCAGTGTCCGTTTCCTGGTTCTGAAAACGTGCTCTGGTTATGTAAAAGGTTAGCACTGGGGAAAGGTGGGTGCAAAGTACACAGGAAATCTGTACTATTTTTGGAAATTCTTGAGTGTCTTACATAATTTCAAGATGAGAAGTTCTTGAAATCCCAGTTAAACATTTGTCCTCAAATATCTTTTATATGCCAGAAAGATTTTCTTTTCTGAAAAATGAATATGAGAAATCAAGGTGCTGTCAAGGGAACTCTTTCTCCTACTGTTTTAATTTAGCAAAGGCTAATGGGTGACAAGTAGCCTAGGAGGTTCACGCTGTGTCTGCACAATACCCAAAAATCTGGATGAAAAGGACACTGGTCCTCTGATCATCCAGAGTTTGCCTTTTGACAACAAACACTGAGACCCCCCTCTTGGCCCAGTCAGCCAGACAGGCCTGCTGTCAGTCGTCCATCTCCGGTGCACTGCTCACCTTGAACTCTGTGTGTCTCCAGGTTGTGCATGACAACTACCTCCTGTATGTGTTTGCTCCAGACCGCGAGAGCCGGCAGCGCTGGGTGTTGGCCCTTAAAGAAGGTAACTAATCTCTTGTGTGACTGAGTCCCTGAGATCCCTTGCTCCTCTAGTAGGCTTGGGTTCCACAGTAGAATAAAGGGCAGCTGGTGGTCAAACATTTCTCCCTTTTAGTGTTGCTAGAAGGTCCCAACTTTTCACTCTGGGCCCAAGATGCAAAAACCAATACAGTGCAGGGTCAGCCAAGTCCAGCCCACCAGGTTTTTTTTACGATTCCAAGCTAAGAACGGTTTTTATATTTTTGAATGATTCCATTTTAAAGGGTTATGTAAGTACCTACATAATATATCGATTTTGCTTCCTGGCAAGCAACCAAAAATGTTTACTATCTGGCCCTTTAGGAAAAAGTTTGCTGATCTTAGTATGACGTGAAGAATAAGAGCATAGACCCTTCAGTTAGCAGACGTGGGTTCGAGTCTTGGCTCTGCCACTTTCTAGCCATATGTGCTTGGGCAACTTCCTCAACTGTTCTGTGCTTCAGTTTGCCCACCTATTTTTAAAAGGGGGTGTAGGAGGGAATGATCATAGTGCCTTCCTCCAGAACTGCTGTGAGTAAAGCCCTTGGAGCTAGCCTGGCCCATAGGCAGCACCCAATACATGTTAACTAGCTTTAAATGTTTTCAGATGATCCGTGAGGGTAGTTCTTAAAGCTCGCCTTTCTGAAAGCGTAGCTAGAACCAGCACAGCGTTAGGTCCGTGGGCTGTGGAGCCGGGTTGCCAAGGTAAAAATCCCAGCTCTGCAAATCATCGGTATGTGACGCTGAGCAAGTTCCTTGACCTTTCGGTGTCTCCATTTCCTCGGCTGTGAATTCTGACTGGCAACACTCGTAGGGTTATTGTGAGACTTAAATGGGTCAGGACATATCAGACACACGGGGCAATGCCCAAAGAAAGCACTCAATTCGTGTTACTATTATTATTATTATCATTACATTTATTTAGCCTGAATCCCTGGATTTGCGGGAGAACTGGGTTTACGTATTAATCTGTCTCTAAGTAGCTATGAGGACTCAGAGTAAACAAATTGTTTGAAATCTCAGGAGCCACAATGCCCCTATCTGAAAAATGGGAATAAGAGTGCGGGGCGTATTTTCTTCCAAGCTTACTGTGAGTCTCAAGTGGTATATGAACAGTCGAGTGCTGGGTAAACTGGAACGTGCTCTCAAGTACAACAGTCACAGGACACAGAACAAACACTAAAAGTAACCAAAAGGGTTCCACCTATGATCACTGGCCATTCTCCCTCACTGAGGGGGTTTTACTGATAGAATGCTAAAACTAGAAGGAACATTAAAGATAGTCTGTCTAGTTCTGGCTTTTATACCTTTTTTCAGCAATAGAGTCCCCACCACCACCACTACCACCACCCTAACTTTACTTTAAAGCCACAAATCTAGAAGGGATGAAAGCCAAGCTGCTGTGGTTGGAGGTGGGAGAGATGCAAAGGGGGAATCCTACCTACTCAGTCTTTCCATGACCCTAAGGCAATTTTGTGCCCCTCACCCCCATCCAGTCTAACAACCTCATTGCACAGTGGGGAGCCTGAGGCTCAGATGAGGGTTTTGCCCAACCTAAGGACACACAACTAACCCAAGGCAGAGCCAGACAAGGACGTAGGTCCACTGGTGCCTAAATCCAACATGCGCTCCTGCACATGTGTACATGCCTGGGGAAGGGCCATCTTTCTGACTATTCTGGGTCCTTTTCACTCAAGCTCACACAGCTGGGTCCAATGTCAAGGAGTTCTCAATTGGTGGCCCTCAATAGACTGATCTGGAAATAACTCTTCTGCTGGTGCCACCCCCTTTCAGAAACGAGGAACAATAACAGTTTGGTGCCCACGTATCATCCTAATTTCTGGATGGATGGGAGGTGGAGGTGCTGTGCTCAGCTGGAGAAGCTTGCAGTGGGCTGTGCCCAGTACGATCCAACCAAGAATGGTAAGACACAGAGAATTCCCTTTCTTCTTTGTAAAATGAGTGGCCTCTCTACTAGTGGGAAGCCAAAGCTCCTAGCTTCTCATCATCAGGAATGTCAGAGATGGAATGCGAAATTCTACATTTTCAGAATTTTCAGAAGGAAATCATCTGCCTCTACTAGCAGTCTGTTTTTATTTTATTTTCTTTTTCTTCATCTCTATACCTCCTTACTACTCAAAGTGTGGTCCTTGGACTAGCAACCTCAACATCACCTGAGAACTAGTTAGAAATGCAAATTCTCTGGCCCCATCCCAGGTCTTCTGGATCAGAATTTATATTCTAACAAGACCCCCAGGAGGTCTGAAGCACTGCTATGACCATCAAGCTAGGAAATTTGAATGGTGTGCTCTACTTAAATCTTAAGTTGTAGGGACAGACTTAAGAGGTATATAATATTTATTTTTCCAAGTCATCACATCACGCAAGTGTTTAGTTACACAAGTTCAATTCTATATACCTGGAGGGGAAATAAAGTAAAAACAACTGCTTATTTTGCTCTGTGGCTTCTCCTTACCTCCCCTTTTTAAACTTGTCCTTGACCTCCACAATCTCAGAGAAAAGGAAGCCACAGCCTACATGCAAAGTGAAAACAAAAGAAGTTGTTTCTCAGCCTTTGAGGTCAAGGGCCTAGGTCCTGGGGATTGGAGTGCAATTCGATTTTACCTTATGTGATGATTTTGGGACCTGAACCCCCAATGAAGTGCAGCTCCATTCTGATGCACTTTCATACGCGATGTGCTCCCGTTCCTCTCAAGCATCTGGGGTAGACAATGTGATGTTTAAGAAAGAGAAGACTTGAGCAGTTCAGTACGCTCAAGGTCACACAGCTAGGAAGTGCTCTGCAAAGCCATTGTTGAAGAGGGATGATGGATCAATTGTGTGGTTGGTTTTGCTCCCATTCCCCCCACCTCTCAACCTCTCTTACCCTAATTACTTTTTCTCATCTGTCAGTTTCTTTTTTTGCACTAAAACTTAACACCTCCGATTGACAACCCAAGGCGGATGTGCTAAATGTAACATGGCTGGGTTTTCCGTGGTTTCCTGAGTCAGAGTCCCTTTTAGTACCCCTTTAAAAACCACTGCTTCTTACCCTCCACCTTGGAAGAGAGAGTTCAAGGTCACCAGTCCCTTGGCACAGAAGAATACTATTTATCTAATTTTAGAAGTCAATGATCCTCTGCATCAGCCCTGTTGACCATACTCGCAAAGATGAGTATTTAATGAAAAGGAAATGGAAGGTTTTATATGGGTGGAATCCACCACAATGAGAGGGTGGCATGGGCTGGCCTCAATGTGTGAAAACCCTTTCCAGAGCCAGAAATCTGGTCTCCAAATTCCTGCCAGCACCTTGCTGTGGGTCCTCAGATGAGTCACTTGGCCATTAAGATCCCTAACATTCTTACTTCTGAAATGGTAAGGGAAGTTTTAAGGGGCCTAGGATGCAATATTAACTAAGCCCCCCTTCCAGTTTTGAAATGTTTTGAATCTGTGTTTCCATTTGCTGTTTCCACCATGCATGTCACACCTATTCCCCTTCGGCGTGCACAGTGTTTCCCTCCACTGCATAGTGGAAACGAGCCTGAGGGGTGAGGACCATCTGAACGACTCTCCAGGATGACAGCTGGGGAGGCTGGTCATGCTGAGCTTTCCTCCACATGAATCCAGGGTCTAACCACTGACAGTCACGTTGCAGTGGTCCTGCATCACCATCGACCATCACATCCCCCGCTGAGCATGCACTCACTCTGCTCTTTCTGGCTTGTTTTAAATAGCCTCATGCACCACAGCTTTGACAGAATGGAGGGCAGAGTATCTGAGAACACACCGAGCTGTGCACGCAGCACATGATCATTGGCTCTGGATGAAGGCTCACAGGATTCCAGTGTTGGACACACATACAAAGCAGGGTCCAAGACCACAGAAAAACATGTGGGGGTGACTCCCAGCCCCGTCACTGCCTTGCTATGTGACTTCACATATGTTACTCAACCTGAGTCTCCTAGCCAGTTTCCTCGTCTGCAAAATGAGGACGATGATAATAAGCAGCTACTTTGTGGGATTGTTGGGAGACTTGGGTTGTGCAAAGCTCTCGGCATAGCTGTGGGCACTTCCTGAGCTCTGAGTAAATGGCTGTTGTGTCTACTAGTTTTTCTTATCTTCAGGCAGAAGAATGAAGCCAAGATAGGCAGTATGCCTGTGTATGTCTGGGAAGCAGCAAATGTAACAGTAAAAATGGACCCTGCTATACCCAACCCACAGCAACATTTACTTCTGCAGCCAGAATTGCCCCTGACCTCACCACATACCGACCTCACGCAGAGGGGAGGAAGGAAGGGAAGAGCAAGGCCAGAGGAAGAAAGAGACCAGTCGTACAATGTTCAGGGTCAGAGGGGCCCAAGGTCACACAGCTGGTATGTGGTGGAGCTGATCAGAATGCCAGCCCCCTGGTTCCAAGTTCAGTGCTGAATAGGAAGCATGCTTCCTATCATGTTGGTTTTCCTTCTTCTCTGTGAATTGCATACCCAATACCCTACCCTGCCCTGTTCAAAGAATTAGTACAAGAGAAGGTGAACCTCCTCTTACCACACCCCCGACCTGGGCTGTCCAACTTCAAGTCAGCCACGGGCAGAGATGAGGAACTCACCACCTGTGCATGCAGCCCGGTCCCTTCTTATCTCTGACTGTTCACGAAATATCTGAATGGAGCAGAAGCCTGTGCACTGCCCCCTGTGTGACACCCAGACACCCTGCTTGGTCCATTGATGCCAGGCCTGACTTTTCAGAGTCTCAAAGGAGAAATACTGAGAGACAGGTAAGGAGATGAAAGGGAAGAGAGAGGAAAAGGAGAGAAAGAAGAGAGGAGAGACAAAGAGAGAAATAGCGAGGTGTTGATGTGTTTGGAGGAGGCAGCAAGAACAATTATTCAGGGGCCTTCAGTAATTGAAAGTGAATTTCAGCCTCACAAACAGCAGCGTGGTGACCGCCCCCTCACCCACCCCCTCCTCAAGCCCACAACAGCGTCAGGAAGCCAGTGAGTCACTGTGCCCCTGAGTCACCCATTCCCACTCCTGGACTTAGCAGGTGTGGGTGCCACTGTGGAAGTCACCAGGCCTACGGGAAGGACACAAACCTAATCCCTCAGCCACAACCTTGGGATTAGGCTTTGCCTGGGAATACAGGAAAAGAGGCCCAGAACATTGGCTTCGGAAGTACCTAGTGTCTCCTAGAAAATGACATCGGGGACCAGCAGGCTGAGAGAGATACAACACAGGTTCTAACAGGGCTGATTTTTGTCTCTCTGAGTCTTACTCTCTCTTTTGGCCCCTTTTCTTCTGCTGTTCGCCTCAGGGCCCCTTTTCTCTGAAAAGCCCCCGACTGCTCACCTCCGGTTGGGGATGTTCAGTTTCAGGCTCATTTTCTTTTTCTGTTTTTCTCATTTCAGCTTCAAAGAAGCCTCTTCCTCCTACTCCTGAAGACAACAGGGTGAGTGAGATCTCAAGCACTGGGCGAGGGTGGGCCCGCCATGCTGTGGGCTCTGACTGGCATGTGCCACTGGCATTTTCCCTGCCTGCCCAGATGTCTCAAACCTTCAGCCAATGCAATAGACTGTCCTGGTTCAGCTGACCTCAGGCGGCGGTTTTCCTGAACCGGAGCGGTCTCACGGGGCTGTCCATGTAAAGGGACCACTCAGCTGCTACAGCTTCTCCTTACTTTACCCTCTCAACAGACACGTACTGCATCGGATTGCCTGTCCACACACCTGGCCACTTTGGAGTATAAGGGCTCACATCTATGTAAAATTGCACATTTACTCTATGTAAAATATTTATTCTACGTAAAATTGCATATTCACTCTAAGTTAACTGTTTACTCTATGTACAATTGCCTATTTGTTCTCCATAAAGGCACCTAGAAGTATACATTTGATAACACTTTATATTTTTCAAAGCCCTTCTATACTTTTACTATCTATTTCAAAACTATCAGTTCTAGCCCTGGCCGGTTTGGCTCAGTGGTTAGAGCGTCGGCCTGCAGTCCAGAGAGACCCAGGTTCGGTTCCCGCTAAGGGTGTGTACCTCGGTTGCAGTTTGTCCCCGGCCCTGGTTGGTTGTGCGGGTGGCAGCCACTCAATGTGTCCCTTTCATGTTGATGTTCCTCTCTCTCTCTCTCTCTCTTCCTCTCTCTCTCCCACTCTAACTGAGCAAAAAATGGAAAAATGTCCTCAGGTGAGGGGGAAAAAACCAAAAACCTATCAGTTCTAGCTGCTTAAGAGAGTTAGAGTTCTATTCTCTTTTTAAAGCTTGGGAAATAAATCCCAAGAGAAGGTGTGGGACTCTCCCAAAGCTATTCAGCCACTTTGGAGTCAAACCAGTAGTCTGCAGAGTTTCTGGTGGGGTGGTTTCTAATTCTATTAGTGGTTCTCAAAGTCTGGTCCATGGACCAGCAGCATCAGCCTCACCTGGGAGCTTGTTAGACATTCAAAACAGATTCTCAGGCCCCACCCCAGACCTACTGCATCCACAACTCTGAAGAAGGGGCCCCGCAATCTGCATTTAATTTAATTTATTTATTATTTTTCTTATCCTCATCTGAGGATTTTTGCATTTATCCTCAGATAGAGTGGAAAGGAGAGAGGGAGGAAGAGAGAGAGAGAAACATCGACGTGAAAGAGACACATCGAGTAGTTGCCACCCACACGACCTCAACCAGGGCCAGGGACAAACTGCAACTGAGGTACGTGCCCTTAGCAGGAACCGAACCCGGGACTCTCCAGTTCGTGGGCCGACGCTCTAACCACTGAGCAAAACCCGCCAGGGCCACAGTCTGCATTTTAATAAGGCTCCAGGTGAGTTTGAGGCACAATGAAGTTTGAGAAACACAGGCCTAATACCTGACGTACAAGACTTCGGTGATATCAAGTCAATTCTGGGACAGCTATTTAGTCAAGAAGACCAAAAACAAAAAACATTAGGAGAAAAATCAGCCCTCCTCTTATGGTCATATCAACACCAAACACCACATTTTAGTAACTGCCCTTTAATTCCAGAACCTACGGATTCTGCTTCTTCCAGAAGAATGAGCTCTGCTGTTCTCTCTCCAGCCACTATGCTGACATTTCAAAAACTGGCAGCTTCCCCAGAGAGAAGCTCCAAATCACTCAAAACCTCAGGCTGGTTCTAAGATCTGTCATGAGCCTAATCCCTCACAACAGGAAAGAAGGTGCTTGAGTTGTAGCAGAAAGTCAGCTCTTTACCCCTCCTCCCTTTTTTTCCATTGATCTTCTAAAGAATGTTTCATCATATCTCTTGAAGACATGGTTCAGAAGCTCACCACCCTGGTATGCAGATGGTTCTCCCCAAGACTCATCTAAACCCACACCTCCACACCATAAACCAGTTTGCCCTTGTTTTATGTTCACTACTGCTGAAGGTGAAGGCCAGGAAACACTGCCTGCCCATCTCTCTTTGGGTTCTGCCATTTGGCTCTTGAAGACTTCTCAGAGGAGCAGTGACCTTGCTGTTTTAGCCCTCTGACCACAGGGCCTTTGCAGTCATTGGTCTAGTTTCAATCATATGTCTAAATCCATTGCACTATTTCTCACCTGAGCCACTTGAATTTATCTCTCCCTTCACTTTCATGCTCTGTCCCCAAATGGGTGACAGCATCTCGAATGGGCATCTAGAGATGCTGTATGTATTTTTAATCCAGTCTGGGCTAGTAGGCCTGATGTAAGAGAGACTGTGAAACAGTCACATCCCTCCTTTGTCTTTAGGTGCCCTTGAACACAACTCCTCCTCCTTAGGGTGAAAGCTTCAGGTCCATCAATCTTGTTCATGGAACTTGATATACCACCTCCTAAGCTCCACAAATATCTAGGCTTCAAATTACAATCTGGGCTCAGTTGGGATGACATGCTACATCTGTATGGCAAGTGTATTTTATTTTTTTAGCATTAGTATTTTTATGCTGTCAAATGCTTCAAGTACTCAGAGAATTTTTGACCTTTATAGCAACAAATCTTGTTCTAGCCAGTAATTCCAAACTCTTCCCTTATTTACTCTCTCACTAAATCTGCCAGCCTATAGCATGTGTGCCCACCCTGAATTTGTTGGCCTTACAATCTCTTCTTCACATCCTCAATATCTCATCCTAAGAAAGGTACTAAGAAGAAGCAACATAGGCAACAGAGCCCACAAGAAGAAGGGAGCCCATGTGCTATAGTAGAAAGAGCATTAAGACTAACTCAAGGGCTTAACTGAGACACGTCCATTTCTTTATCTGGGCCTCAGTTTCCCAATTCTAAACAAAAGAGTGGATTACATGATCTTTCAGAGGAATTCTGTCCTATGATTCTACAGATCTGGGCAAGTCCACAAATCAAATCAGAAAAGCATAAACTACATAATTCAGTGTTGACTATATCACCTTCGCCAAGAACGTGATGCTTCCAGCAGAGTGACATGTGACATGTGACATGTGACATGGTACAAACAGACAAATCAGCAGACTGTTGGGAAACCCATGCAGCTGCTTGGAATGCACTCTAGTCAGATTTTACCTCTTGGAATGGGAGGGGTGACGAATTTCAGGTACTGAATGTCTTTGTGTCATAGTCAGCATCATAACCCTAAGACATAAAGAAGGCAATTGTCTAAGAGACTATCCCCATGCGTCGTAGGAACTGGTATTTGACCTGGCACCCACCCAGGAGCAAGATACAGCTCAGGGACTTGCTGACTTCGCTCTGCAGTTTAACTCCTGTCCACATCTTTGCTTGATTTTGTCTCCCTCCTCCAGCGCTCACTTCAGGAACATGAGGAAACCATGGTCATCGCCTTGTATGACTATCAAACCAACGATCCTCAGGAACTCGCGCTACAGCGCAATGACGAGTACTACCTACTGGACAATTCTGAAAGTCACTGGTGGAGAGTTCAAGACAAGAACGGGTAAGGCATCTTTGTGCTTGCTGTCCAGCGTTTGAGGTGAGGTGGGGACAGATGCTGGGACGATTTGTCCTGCCTCTTTCAGCATGACCACTGCACTGAGTTAGGGGAGGGGAGCAGAGGCAGAAGGACGAGGAAGGAAGAACGTCTCAGAAGTGGCTAGTCTCTGAACCCCATCAAGCACTCCTGGCCCCCAAACTCATCTAAAAATCTCCTGGTTTCTTCTACTGGCATCCACCATTTGGGAGACTGGCAATCTGTTTCGCAAAGAAGTACTGTTGTGCCCAGATGGGGAGGCAACTTACTCAGAAATCTATCCCTTCAATCAACTGACATTTATTTAGCATACTGCGGTACCAGAAAATTTCTTCTCCTAGTCTCACTTTCCCAAATGACAGTTTACCCTTTGTTCAATGGCCTGTGGAAAAGCTCAACTCTGCACTTCAAAGGGCTTTGAACAGGACACCCTAGAGGCCAATCAACATATGGGAATCCCCCCCACCCCCGTTTGCTTTGTAACAGTGCGGTATAGTACACAGTTCACAGGATGGCAAGACAGAAGAGCTGGACTTTAGTATCAGCTGCTCTTGCTGCATATGACTTTGGAAAAGTCTCTTAACCTCTGCGAATGCATTTCTTTATCTGTAAAATGCAGATGGAAACATCAGCTTTATTTATTGATTTGAGAGAGAGAGATCTGTTGTTCCACTTATTTATGCATTCATTGGTTGCTTCTTGTATATGCCCTGATGGGGGAATTGAACCCACAACCTTGGTGTATCAGGACAATGTTCTAATCAACTGAGCTGGCCAGGGCTGGTAATATCAGCTTTGACTATCTCAGAATGTTGAGAAAAATCAGTGAGATGATGAAAGTGAAAGGGCTTTGTAAATTCTATATCTATATACAAGTGAAAAGAATTATCATCATTTGTGTAGATAACCCAGCTTTGGTTGGCATATTAAAACACAGTTATTCTATTTGAAAGCAAAAGTAGTATTTGACCTATTAATATAATTGTAAACATATGGTGTGGCAAAAAAACAAAACAAAAAAAAACAGAGATAATCAAGGGGAATTCCCAAAGAGAGAAATGAAAGAAATAGCAAATTTCAGAACCAGTTGACTCCCATCTATTGGCACTGACTGCCCCGATGACCGTGTTAAGGAGGATTCTGAGGGTGGATGTCCAATTCTCCATAGAAAGCAGGCCATGATTGACTAGCAGTGTTAGCCATGGGCACAGGGAATGAGATAATCCTCCTCTAATGGACATTCCATTCTTGTTTTCTTGAAACAACTCTGTGAAAAAGATGACACATTCCCCATAAACATAATCACTAGATTGAAAAATGGCAAAACACAGAATGGCTGCCATCAACAAATCATCAAACAACAAGTGCTGGTGAGGGTGTGGAGAAAGAGGACTCTAGCACACTGCTGGTGGGAATGCAGACTGGTGCAGCCACTATGGAAAACAATATGGTGTTTCCTAAAAAAAATTTTAAATTGATCTGCTATTTGACCCAGTGATCCTACTTCAAGGAATATATCCTAAGAAGCCTAAAACACCAATCAGAAAGAATATATGTACCCCTATGTTCATAGCAGCACTATTTACAATTGCTAAGATCTGGAAACAGCCCAAGTGTCCATCAATAGATGAGTGGATTAAAAAGCTGTGGTACATATACACAATGGAGTACTATGCAGCTGTAAGAAAGAAAGATCTCTTACCCTTTGAGATGACATGGAGGGACCTGGAGAGCATTATGCTAATCAAAATAAGCCAATCAGAGAAAGACAAATACCACACGATTTCACTTATTTGTGGAATATAATGAACAATACAAGCTGATGAACAAAATAGACCCAGAGACATAGAAAGGAGTACAGTTCAGACTGACAAACCTTAGAGGAGGGTGGTGGGGAGGAGGGGTGAGATAAATCAAAGAATGTATATGCATGTATACATAACCATGGACATAGACAACGATGCTGGGGGAGGGGGACGGGATCAGGAGGAGGGTGGGGGGGAGGAGAAACATCTGTAACAAAAATAAATTAATAAAAATGGCAAAGAAAGTAAAAATGGCAAAACACTGTATGGAGTAAAGAGCAAGAAACTGTCAGGCATCTTTAGACAGACTGGCAGCGTCTAGAGGGATTTTACGTGTAGTCTAGTTTAGGTCCCTCATTACAGGTACGGAGGCAGAGGCCAAGAGAGGGAGGGGCACTGTTCCTGCCTCGTGGTATTAAATGCCATAGTGAATGGAAAAGTGCTTTGAAAAGTACAAAGCTGCACACAAATGGGAAGTATTTTGATGCACTTAGTAGCCCCTTAATGCATGTGTCTTCGTTTGTGCTCAATTATTTATTCCTGCTCTAAAGGGACTCCCATCCCCCAAGATCCAACATGACTTTATCCTTTTTCCTTGTGTTTTACCATTTATGTCTGAAGGTGCTCAATTAACAAAAAATATTAGGGAGACCATGAATTAAAATTTACAGTGCTGACTGGCAGTATCTTTTAGCACCTGTGGTTGGATAGTAATTTTTTCATATTTTAATTATTTTTGTTTCCTGACTGTAAAATAATAGCATTCAAGTGGAAAAAATACTGATTATCACACACAGAAAAAATGTTTCCTTATAGAAAATAGAGACTGCACATCAGTGGTTTTTTGTTTTGTTTTTTTCCAGCAAAGGAACTTTCACAACGAGGAGAACAGCAAGCGGCACTTTTTAAGTAAAATAGCTGTGTCTTACTTATTACGGTTTATATTTTAGTAGTGAATCTATCGCCTTTAACAGACAGGTAGTTATTTTTTAGCAATACTTTTATTCTAAAACTGTATGTGTCGTATCAGGAATGCCAAATAATGTAAGACTCTCCCATCTTCAAGGGACTTCTAGTGCATTGAACTTATAAAGTGGAGATGTGAAAATTAGTTCTATATTAGCTTAAGCACTAATTTCCCTTTTAACAGGCATGAAGGATATGTACCACGCAGTTACCTGGTGGAAAAGTCTGCAAATAACCTGGAAACCTACGAGTAAGATATTTTATTTATTTTACAAAAATATGGCACTAAGGAGTCCTCCGTAGATTAGAAATCAATTGTTGGTCGATTATAAAACTACCAGGCATTTTCTTTTCCTGACCTGCTTTCTTCTCCCATACTCAGACCCCTAAAGAACAGTAGAGGAACACTTTACCCAGGAGAAGAGGGAGAGGGTGTATACTCACCTGCCCTTTTATCAAGAGGATGCTTCTCAAATGTCTATGCAGATTGTAGTAAAGAAAAAGGCTCTCCTGGGAATCCTAGGAGTACTTGTGTTAATTGGGAAGGAAAAAAACACTATAAACACTGGATCCAATGCAAACTGATTTAAAACATGGTTTACTACATCCAATACCAAAATAATAGACAAATAGATATTAAATATCTGCTTAGCTTGTGTTGCTTATTTCAAGCTATCATTTAGAAGAGTTCATACGGATATTATTTATTTATTTATTTATTGTTCAGATAGAGTGGGAGAAAGAGAGAAACATCGATGTGAAAGGGACACATCGAGTGGTTGCCATCCGCACAACCCAACCAGGGCCGGGGACAAACTGCAACCGAGGTACGTGCCCTTAGCAGGAACCGAACCTGGGTCTCTCCGGTCCACAGGCCGACGCTCTAACCAGCTGAGCCAAACCAGCCAGGGCTGGATATCATTTTAATGGAACTACTTAAAGTTTAATAAATCAAATTATTGTGTACAGAGTACTCACCACACGTACATAGATTTCCTAGCTCAGCCGCTGAAAGTCCCAGAAGCAATAACACCACAGCAGCAGTGTGTACACCTGCATCCTGGTTTCTAAACACTTCCCGCCATAAAGACCAGAGTTCTTGGACAAATGGCTTGTGGATTCAGAGGTGGAGGCAAAAAGAGAACAAAATGAACTTGGAACATCTTATTGTACCAAAAAGTAAAGAAGCACCTAACAAAATTTTTAAAATGATGTGGATATGTCAAACTAGCACGGAAGTCAGCTTTAAAATGCTCCTTCTGCCCAAATCTGGCACAATTTGAGTATTAAAATAAATAATGACAGTAATGTACTATATAGTCCATTGAATAAAATGAGAATCCACAAGAAATAGATAGCTTGATAGATAAGTAAGAATTAAAATAAATATACAAGAAGAGAAAGCTCCTTCTTACCATAGAATTTCAACTAAAAAAATGTAGCCCTGGCCGGTTTGGCTCAGCAGTTATAGCATCGGTCCATGAACCAGAAAGGCCCGGGTTTGGTTCCTGCTAAGGGCACGTACCTTGGTTGCAGTTTGTCCTTGGCCCCAGTTGGGGTCACATGGGTGGCAAGCACTCGATGTGTCTCTCTCATGTTGATGCTTCTCTCTCTCTCTCTTCATCCCTCTCTCCCTCCCACTCTATCTGAAGATAAGTGCAAAAAAATGTCCTCTGGTGAGGATTTAAAAAAAAATGTAGGAAGAATAAAAAATGTAGGAAGAATGTTAAAGTTTTTTTAAAAATCAATATTTTGTGACTCAAAGTATTAACTAATTCATGCAAGAATCATCAATAAATGTCAAAACTAGGGGGTGAAAATTTGATAGTTACATAGTCTCAAGATATCTTCTGGCAACTCATTTATTATTATTATTATTTTTTTTTTTTATCTTCACCCGAGGATATTTTTCCATTTTTTGTACAGATAGAGTGGGAGGGAGAGAGAGAAAGAGAGAGAGAGTGAGAGAAACATCGACGTGAAGGGACACATCGAGTGGCTGCCACCCGCACGACCAACCAGGGCCGTGGACAAACTGCAACCGAAGTACGTGCCCTTAGCGGGAACCGAACCCGGGTCTCTCTGGACCGCAGGCCGATGCTCTAACCGCTGAGCCAAACCGGCCAGGGCTGGCAACTCATTTATTAATGAGCAAATGGTCTATAATGGGACAAGCAGACATTGTGTGTCCCCTGATACTATGCACAGAGGACACAACATACTTTTGTGATATTTCTGCCCAAGCATGCATAATCTCAATTTAGTCACGAGGAAATGCAAAGTGAGGGATATTTTATAAAATAATTGGCCTGTGCTCTCAAAAATGTATATATCCTGAAAGATAAGCTGAGAAATTAGTCCACTTTAAAGGAAACTAAATAGATATGGTAACTAAATACACTAGTAATCCTGGATTGATCTTGAATCATTTTTCTAAATCACAACACACTTTATTGGGATAATTGATGAAACTTGAATAAAGTCTTAAATTAAATAATAACATTGTATCAATATGAAATTTTCTTAATTGGATAATTGTATTATGGTTATATAAGTGTATACTCTATTTCTTCAAAATACGTACCGAAGTCCTTAAGAATAAAAATCTATTTTCAAATGGTTTAGAAAAAAATATATTTATCTATCCAGAAACATTGGTAAAGCAAATATAAGCAATTGGTTCATCTGGGTGAAGTGTATATGAGAGTTCTCTTATAGAATCTTATAACTTTTCTATGCATTTGAAATTATTTAAAAATAAACATTTCTTAAGTCTTCACCAAATATATGATACCAGGATTGAAGAATACTAGTTATAAGGACTTCTATTAATTCATGTGGATTCTTATTAGTTCAAAGGTGCTCAAGTTATTTGTTGCTGAAATTTGAATACACACTATAGTGAAGAGCTATCATTTATTTTCTGAGGAGTCTCTCAACCGGAGGGAGATTCATTTTGTTGAAGTATGCAGAAATAGCCCCGCCCCTCTGCTAAAAGAGTCATCAGTTTCAAGAATCCTTCAGCTACAATGAAACATGTATAAAACATGTTCAAATAGAATATTTTTTATACTCAATGCAAAAAAACAAACAAAAAACATTTATTTTAAATGCTCACCAAGCTGCGATTATTTGTTTTTGCTTTTAATTAGAATCTCTTCATTTATGATAGAGGCAACAAGCCAAAAATTCCAACCAACTATAAGGCAATAGGGAATGGTGGAGCCTGGGGCAAATAAAAAAGTATATGCCCCCTCCTGGAAGTATTTCTGGCCGTAATTATCTTTCATAAGTAAATCATAAAAAAAAAAAATTTAACGTCATTGACATATAGCATTTTCCTGTTTCCAGGTGGTACAATAAGAGTATCAGCCGAGACAAAGCTGAAAAACTTCTTTTGAACACAGTAAGTCTCCTTAAACTGCCTTTGACTTAAAATAAATTGTGCTGGTTATTTTCAGCCATGCTGTGGTTTAGGCCAATGTAGTGAATTGATATATTGGATTAACAGTGCTTTTCATGTGTGGTAAAAATATTCCGGGGATTTACAGGACAAGCACACACGGGGTAAGAAAACTGGGGAGCGTCGAAGGCCTTGCAATCGACACAGCATTGCCGCAGGTGCGGTGGTCTTTCCAGCTGTGCTGGCTGGCACCGGGGAGCCAAGTGACTGTCTTCCTTGTCTGTTTCTCTGGCTGGGTCAGGGGAGGCAGTGACCCAGATTCTGCCCGGTGCAGCTGTGGGTGCAGAGGAAATACACCACTGTCAGAACTTATTTTTCATGCAACAGTTCCCGAGAGCATTGCATTGTGAGTGACAGCACTGATCTTACGCAGGGACGTCAGGATTAAGGGATGGAGGGATGAGGAGAGAGAAAGCATGGTGCAGTGGGGAAAGTACTGGATCCTGGTCCCCGCTCTGTCTCTAACTCGGTGTGTGACTTTAGGGACAGCTCATCTTTCTTCTGGGCCTCAATGAGCACGCGATGAGCATTGGACTAAATCGGGGGTGACAATTACCCAAGCGCTCACATTGCTACTCTTTGCTCCTGTCCTATGACTGACATGGTTCATCACAGTCATGGCTCTGTGATCCTTTTTAGCAGTGTTCCAACAGCTGCCACTGATTAATTGGCACCCAAGGTGAACACTCTCTTCTTGGACCAGAAGATTATTTGCTATTCTAGGGTACTGCCTCTCAAAACATCTGGGACGGATTCCTTTTCATGGTTTGTTTTTAATTTCCAGTTTGTCACCAAATTTATATTTTCTAAAATACAACAAAAATGAGTAACTAGAAAAAATTTAAAAGAGTGAAAGAGAAAAATGGAAGTCCGATTTTTTATTAGTATTATTAGATTCATTTGACACAACATTACCCAATCTGATTGCTATAGTTTCAAAATGTTTACTCTCCATTTCCCTTTCTGTCTGGTAGTGGACCAGTGACAATTTGCCAACTGGCACCCACCTGCAGACCACACATTGGGCAGCGCTGAGAATTGCATATGTATGGCTCTTGCAGAGAAATCAACAGCATGAAGGTATTGAGAGACGGTCTCCACAGAGCCATCAATTCATTTACCAGCATATATGCCAAGAGGTTCTCAGGCCTGTCTGCACATTAGAATTGCCTGGGAAACATTTAAAAAAACAGGCCCAAGCCAAACCCCAGATTCACTAAATCAGCATCTCTAGGATTGGAAGGATCCAGGCATGAGTCATTTAGAGAAAAATCTCTTCAGCTGAGTCTAATATTCAGACCAGTGCCCAGCCCAATGTGGCTTACCAGGGAGACCAGTAAACAGTCAGTATGAGTTAGTGAAGGCATCAGTCTCCTTGTGCAAAATGGCAACACTATCCCTGCCGGTTCACCATATATCATTTTCTAGTTATGGTTTGAAAGTATTTCCCATCTTCAAGAATCTGAAACTGCCCATCTCTCCTGAATGGAATGAAGGTGCAGTGATCATCCTGGCTTGCCTGGGACTATTCTACTTTTAAAACGAAGACTCCTGTGTCCCAGGAGCACCCCAGACCCCGCACTGGTCCCAGGCAAACCAGACAGTTGGCCACCCAAATCATACATGATTTTGGACAGTGTTTAGGAGTGAGCCTCAGGGAAGGAAACCTGGGAAGATGTCAGGAAGGGCATGAAAGGCTGTGATGGGAAGGTGGAGGGATAATGAATATTGATTGTCAGGGAATAATTTAACGACATTGAGTTCATTATTAACATCTATTTACTTTTGCACAAGAAAAACTGATAAGACATTGATTCATTCTATCAGAGGGAAAAAAATATAATATCTGTAAGAGGGAAATGGGAGGGAAGAGGGAAAGTCCACAGTCATATTCGGGAGCAGTGAACTTGGTGCTTCTTCTTCGGATAAGTTGCTATTAACAGGTAGCTAAGCCCTGGCTGGTTTGGCTCAGCAGTTAGGGTGTCACAGGTTTGATTCTGGCCAAGGGCACATACCTCGTTTTCGATTCATCCCTGGCCCTGGTTGGGGTCATGAGGGAGGCAGCCACTCCATGTATCCCTTTCACGTTGGTATTTCTCTCTCTCTCTCTCTCCCTCTCTCTCTCTCTCTCTCTCTCTCCCCCCTCTCCCTCTCCCTCCCCCTCTCTTCCTCCCACTCTATCTGAACAAAAAAAATTGGAAAATGTCCTCAGGTGAGGATTAAAAAAAGAAACAAAACAGGTAGCTAACAAGAGAACAGGGTGAGATGTTCTGCCCTTGGGTAACTTGTCCTCATCAAAGAGAGCAAGTTTAGTTGTTTGTGGATTCTCCAAAAGACTGCGCATTTGCCAGTGATGAACACGATACAGGCAGTCTGTCCTGTCGGCCGTCTCAATGATCACCTGGCTCAGCTAAGGTCCGTTTGCACCATTTCCTCAATTAGGATGTCTCGGTGTAAACTCGGGGACCTTCCCATTTTGCTGAGCACAGGACTAAATACTTCGACAAGATTTTTATCTCCGTGAGCTTTAGGCTCTATTGGGAAACGAAACAAACATGAAGAAAGACTGAGCGGATCATCTAAAATCAGCTGTGTGCATGAGGCAGCCTCTCAGCGGTCTCTGAGTGCAGAGAAGATGCGAGTGGAGTTAGAAAGATTTCATGGAAGCAGAGCAATTGAGCTGAGTCATACTGGCCCCTGGTTTCTACTTGGTTTCACAGTGACTTAGCATTTAATCTTTTCCTGGGGTTCCCAATAGAACCACGGGGACACTTTTTTAAAAAGTAGATTCCCAGGGCCCACCCCAGACCTCCAGATCAAAATCTCTAGACTGAGATCCTGGGGATCTGTGTTTTTGCAAGTCAAGCTTGGGTTATATATGTAGCTAGCTCAGCACCTCGTTCCCCCGACCCGTTATTGGATAACACAGGAAAGCTTGACTAATTGAGAGGAGTGAACACTTACTGAAAAATCTGGATTACACTGAGTTTAAACAAGGGCGGTATTGTTATTTTCAATCACACATTGGTTCGCGAAGTGTTGCCCACGGGGAACTAGAACCGTCCTCATTAATGACCAAAGATGACTGCCATTTCACAGCAGTTTTTCGGAGGGATTTAAATACATTCCGCTTGCCCTTGCAGCTGAAACATCCCTCCTCACTAACACTCTGAACTACTTCACCAAATTCCTCCTGGCCTCCTTAGGTAATACAAGGGAAAACTCAGTGGGTCCCATCTTACATGCTGTTTGAAATGACAGTTGAATTGTTTCAGGAGTGTCTCCTTATCTAACAAGCATAGAACCTTTAAGATGTGGATTGATTGACTCATTTCAATGAACCAATAATGGACTTATTTCACTTTTATTAACTAAACTCCTGATGTACTGCCCTATACATATTTCTCCACTAGAGACCCTTGATTGCGTACCTGCTGTACCTAGGAACCCAGAACTGTACCTATGACAAAGTAGTTGCTCAATAAATGTTTGCTGAATGAGGGAATATGTCAAATACCTAATAAATGCTGTCAAATTAACAGCAGTGCTTAAGGAGATCCTGACTGATCGTGAGCATTCCTGGGGGAGCTTCTTAAAAATACAAATTCCAAGACTCCAGCCCTCACCAATCAGAACCTTTGGAGGTAGCACCCAGGTGATTCTGGGACTTACCCAAGTTTGGGAACCACAGAAAAGCATCTCCTATGGCGTGCTGTCAGTTCTTCAGATAACACCTCCTGTAGGAAGCTGCTCACATTTTCCCTCTCCTTGGCCAGGAAATGTGGTTTTCCTCTCCTTTGAACCCTTATGGTGCAATGTCATCACTTCAGCCCTGTTCTCACTCCGACCACAGCAGCCCGTTTTGGTAGAGGGTCAATCCTTGTAAGCAGCCGCTCCATACCTTACAGCATCGCACACATGGGGCAGCGTGGATTTCAGGCAGGAGCCTTATCTAACACATTGATTTATCTTATTTCCATGATTCTATATTGTCATTCAAGATGCAATATTGACTTAATGATGGGCTTGTTTTCAAGAGAAGAGAAGAACCATCTCCAGAATAAAGAGCAGCTATGCGTCAGACCGTCTTAGAGCATAATGTGGCATGGCAAGGTTATGAATGAGCAGTCCGTCTCTTTTGCAATAACCTGACCTATGTGTCAAGATTATCTTCTGTGAGATCACCTACAAATCACACGGACAGAAAGAGAAACATATACTCCTAACCCCCTTGACACGTCTTAGACCAAAGCAGACAGTGGGATTAATAGTTCCGACGGATGGTTCAGCATAGACGTGGTGATGATGGCAAAGATGGAGCCAATGCCTCATGCTGGTGCCGTATTCCAGGAACTGTTCTATGCGCTTTACCGTAATCCTCCCAGCAATCTTACAAACAGCAGTTTACAGTCAAGAAAACTGATGCTCATACATTGAATCAGGAAACATCTAGAATTCACAGACTCACAGGCCATTAGAATGAGAATTCCCTTCAAACACCTCTGGATCATTTCTTTTATGTTATAGACGAGTAAACCGGAGCCACGTTCAGAGCGTGACTCGGTGGCCTCGCTAGGACTAGAGCAAGGTGCTCCTTACACACATTCCCGTATACGCACACGCACACGCGGTTTATAAGGGCACAGATGAGTTAAGCCCCATTCTCCCATCTCCATTCTTCCTTCCCATGAATTTCACCTCCTTGGCATGATTTTTTCTATTGTTGCCTGTTTCCTTTTTTTTTTTTTTCTAGATAAAATATAAAAAGTAAATTGAGCCCTGGCCAGTTTGGCTCAGCGGTTAGAGCATTCACCCACAGACCAAAGAGTCATGGGTTTGATTCCAGGCAAGGGCACGTACCTCCGTTGTGGTTCGGTCCCCGGCCCTGGTCGGAGTCGTGCGGGAGGCAACCAATCAATGTGTCTCTTTCACATCAATGTTTCTCTCTCTCTCTCTTTCTCTCCATCCCACTCTATCTGAAGGTAAATTAAAAAATATCCTAAGGTGATCATTAAAAAAAAAAAAAGGAAATTGAGACCTTGAAAATGTCCCATGGGAGCAAGGGTCCCCCACCCCACCCAGGGCTGCATTGCCCAGGTCAGTGCCCCATGCATGGCGGTGATATGAGCAAAGACCCTTCAGGCTCCAGTGTTGGTGGCTGTGACTTCCTCTGCCCCTTTTCAGGAAGTGGGTGGTACAGCATATGCTGGATGCCACATTTCCCCCAGAGCTCTAGGCCACCTCAGCCCCCAACCAGAGTTTCCTGTCACCGTCACAGACCGTCGCCTAGAGCAACGGCAGCGGAGGAAGAGCCCTGAGCCTCCTGTGCTCAGCGGAGGGGACGGCAAACCTTTCCTCCCCTTTTCCTCACATCTGTGGATTCCTCTTGCTAACGGTCGGGCCCTGCTCTGATGACAGATTTTTGTCCAAGAAAATAATGACTTCTGTGACAGGATAACAACAACCAAACGTTCTTAATTAAATAGAAAAGATGCTCACACCCCCTCTTCACGAGACAGTGGGTAAACTCCCGGGCTTTTTGGTCTATGTTTCTTCCTCTTTAGAGTAAGTGACACGTGCAGATCAACTCGGCCTCTGGTGAAGTTTCTCTTCTTCCTGCCTGGAGTTTAACTCGTCACGTTTCAATGAGGCCAGAGCAAAAGCTTTGCTACTGGGCAAAAGGGGAGACATTTTGAAGACAATCTACACTACTTATAATGGGTGGGTGAATATCACAAACATGATGTTGAGAGATAAAATCGGCTATAACATTGTATAACTTTAAGGTGTACAACATAATGACTTGATAGATGTATTTATTGCAAACTATTCACCACAATTAGTTAACACCCATCACCACACAGTTACAAGTTTGTTTGTTTGTTTCCTTATGATAACTTGTAAGATCTACTCACTTAGCAACTTTCAAATACAGTAGCAACTTTCAAATATATGATTCAGTATCGTTGAGTATACATTACATCCTCATGACTTATTTATCTTACAGCTGGAAGTTTGTACCTTTTGACCACCTTCATCCAATTCCCCCACTCTCTATACCCTCCCAAATTTTAAAATAGACTCTTGAAACTCCCAGCAGAGATAAGAAGAGTTTGGGGATTTTTCACAAAGTTTACGTGGTAACTATATGCTTGGCAACAATTAACAATATTGTAAGGGCTGATTGCCCCACACCACCTCCACCCCCACCCCCACCCCCACCCCCCCACCCACACACACATCCTGCAGGTTCCAGCCAAGTTAGAAGAAGCAGGTTATGTTCCCGTGCAAGGAGAAGCTGTCTAACTATTGGTGCTGTTTTGTGAGACAGAAACTATTCATCAGGACTGTTCTAAATAAGAGCTGAGTGTTTAGCTGAGTCAGTGGAGATCAAACCTGAATGTCTATAAGAATCACATGGCAAGCTTTTGAGAAGTTCAGGTACCAGGGTCCCCGTCGAAGATTCTAGTGCATGGATAGGGGGTGGAGCATGATCAGCTGTTTGCTGTTGCAATTTTGTTTTGTCTCGGGTAATTCTTATCAGCAAAGTCTGGGACACAGGGGTTTAGGGAATGAGGCCAGATCAGGGGTTCTCAACCAGATGTGATTTTGTCTGCCAGGGAGCACTTGCTAACGGCTGTCATCCAGTTGTTAGAGGCCAGGGATGCTGCTAAACGTCCTGTAAAACAAGACAGCCTCCTGCCACATAGAATTACAGGCCCTAACATGTCAATGGTGCTGAGATTGGGATAACCTTGAACTAGATAACCTTTATATGGTCCTTTCTAACCCTGAAGTTCTAGGATTCAAACAATTGTCATGGCCTTCTGTGGGTATTCTTTTTATGTAGAGACAACCCACCTTTGGGATTGGGTTATGGAGGGGCTTGTGTTGTTCTACACTGTATAGACTTTGCTCCACATCTGCAAGTGTATGCCCACACACAAGGCTCCTGTCTCTCTGGCCTTCACGTAAGGACCACACTGTGTGTAAGTTATGTAAATCATAATAATAGGTTTTGCAAATATTACCAGCAGAGATTTACAGCCAGGTGGGAACAGAGCATCAGACATGAAGTACTCAAACAAAGCTAAGGTTTTAAAGTGGCCACCAGGAATAAATAAACTGGTATATCCATTTGCTTAATCAAATCCATTTGATTTTATCAGCGCCAGCAAAGTTGTCAGGGGGTGTTAAAGGGTACATATTTGGGTCTTTCTCTTCTCCCCACTTCCCTCATGCAATCAGGAACCTCATTTTTGTTTCTCCTTTTGTCCTAGAGCAAAATCAGCACTTTGGAAAGGGCCTAAAAATGTCTTTTTGTTAAGGAACTGATGAAGCTTCCAGAACAGAAAGTGTATGCCCTTGTGGGGGGATGGAGATGTGGCTTCCAACATCTGTTGAATGGAGGCTTCGTAGAGTCATAGAATGAGCACGGGCTTTGCTCACAGGCCACATTTAAGGTTCAAATCCCAGGCCTGCCACGTACTGGTCGTGGGCCATGAGATGTTCACTTACGCTCTCTGCACTCGGCATCCCCGTCAGGAAATCGGAGATAGTAACATCTGGATTGCAGCACTGTGGTGAGGGGGGGATGGTATTTGTAACGAATCTGGTACATGGTGAGCTCCAGGAGGACGTAGCGTGTGTCTGTCTTCAGTACTGCTTACATCATCCGTAGACTAGTCCTGACTCATGGTAAGAGCTCGAGAGAGAGCTGCTGAGTGAATACAGAAGACGGTAGCCACTGTTGCTGAGTCTGCTCTGCACCACGCTGGCCTACAGAATTTCCCCAGTTCACCAGCAAGGCCGTGGAGCTGGGTCCGTGGGCCTGGCTTTCCAGGGTCACTCACCTTCCATTCTTTCTGACCATTCCAGGGCAAAGAAGGAGCCTTCATGGTACGAGATTCCAGGACCCCAGGAACGTACACCCTGTCGGTCTTCACCAAGGCCATCGTAAGGTGTGGTGCTAACTTGCTCAGCACGGTGGGGAGAGACTGTCCCGAAGGGGGTGAGGGAGGCAGCACACCCCGCCACGTGAGGCAGAGCGAGAAGTGAGGGGCCACTGGGAGTGGGGTGCTCTCCCTGACCCTCTGAGCAAACCAAGGCCAGAGAGATCAGGGACGTGCCTGCAGGCACTTAGCCGGCCAGAACCAGAGCTGGCACTGGATGCCGGGATCATTTCCTGGTTAGCATCCTTGAGTGCAGAGCTCCAAAGAAAGAAAACACCTGGCCTGGATTTGATGAGTTTGTAATTAGTTGCAGAATAATGAAAGAGATACTTCTGGCTGGAAGGAAGAAGATAGGAATTCTAGTTCCGGCTCTGCTAATGGCAGCGACCTACCATTTACTGAGTCCCTACAGTGTAGCAGGACTCTACAGGCCAGGTCCAATCTTAATAAGCCCTGAAGGCAGGTGTTACTATGCTCCTTTCACAAAGAAGAATCAGAGGCTCAAAGAGCGGCCAGCCCCTCCCTGAGGCAGTGGCGTTCGAGTGGTCAAGCCGCTGGTTTCAACAGCTGCCTGCAGGACCCTCACTGCTTGTCGGCCCCTTTCTGGACCTCAGTTTCCATCTCTGTAAAATGATGTCAAATTCTCTTCTAATTAGAAAATTAGGAAAAATTAATAGTTTGGCGATGACCAAAGGAAAGGAAGAATTAAGAGAAGAGAGAAAGATAATTGTTAAGGGGCCCACGGGGAATACTTGTTGGAGGTTAGATGTGAGCAGGACTCGGGGGAAGAGCAGGTGACAGGAAGGGCGGTGTCCAGGGATGGGAAAGAACGCAGTGCACACCACAGAGGGGCCCACCTCTGCCCTGCCCGGGGCACGGTGACGGGAGTGACCATAAGGTAGAATGGAGCGGGAGTGAGAACCAAAGCTGTGTGGGTGCCCAAGACCACCCCATGTTCGGGGGTTCACTAGGAAGCCTCGCAGGACGCAGCATGTCGCCGTACTCGCGGCTAAGACTGATCACAGCAAAAGGATACAAAGCCAAATCAACAAAGCGAAAAGGCACATGGGACAAAATCCAGAGAAAACCAAACACGAGCATCCAGTCTTCTCCCAGTGGGGTCACACAGATCATGCTGAATTCCTTCGGCAGCAAGTTGTGACAACGGAGTGGCGTCTCCCAGGGAAGCTCATGAGAGGCTCAGTGCCCAAGGTTTTCCCTGGGGACTGCCCACGTAGGCAGCTAGCACACAGCAAAATGCCAGGCTCCCAGCGGAAAACCAGGCATCGGGCATAACCACATTGTTTATACAAACACTGAGGCACAGGGAGCCACCTTTATTTGTTAGAAAATGGTGAGAATTCTCCCAAAATCCAAGTTCTTGGACGCCAGCCGGGAGCTAACCTTGCACGTGGGACTATGTAAGGCCATCAGTCAGGGCTGCTGTATTGACTGCTGCACACATCAAACTGGTGCGTAGGGGCGGGAGATGCTTCTTGAACATATGCTGGGAATTAGTTGAATTCTTAGAGCAGGGGGGGACATGTAGCACATGTGAGACCACTCCCTCTTCTCTGGGGGCAGAAGAAACATCACAGCTCTGACTCTAACGGGGTCCAGGTGCAGCCTCTGCGTCCTTAATACAACACCCGGGGCCAACCTGTCAGGACTGACGCAGGTTGAACAATACCCGCTGTCCTCGCGAGAGGGAGAAAGATAAGGCGAGTGGGAATCTGACACCAGTCGACAGTTTTGTGCCTAAACATTGCTGCTTCATCACTGCATTTGTGTTTCATTTGTTGAAGTGAGAACAACCCCTGTATAAAGCACTATCACATCAAGGAAACAAATGACAACCCCAAGCGATACTATGTGGCCGAAAAGTATGTGTTCGACTCCATCCCTCTCCTGGTCAATTATCACCAGCACAACGGAGGAGGTGAGTCCTAAAGGACCAGGTGGGGAGTGGGTGGACCCTCAACAGCAACTTGGTTTCTTCGTGTCAAACAAGCAGACCTCAAATAATAATTAGATATACAAATAGAAAAGGATGCCAACTACTGGATTATATTTCATATTTTCCTTTAGCCAATTCTGCACGCCTGTGTTGCTGACTCTTCTCAGAGAGGGTGGAATATCGGTGACGGGGCTTTGGGGTTTGTTTTCCAGAATAAAAGTAGCTTTTGCACTGGGTTATATTTCTTCCTGGTGATTTGTCTGGGATGGTTGGTCCAGCAAAGCTCTAACCATGGCCTTTTGCTTTTTAATCAACCCAGGCCTGGTCACTCGGCTTCGCTATCCGGTTTGCTCCTGGAGGGAGAAAGCGCCCGTCACGGCAGGGCTGAGATACGGTGAGCGGTGCCTCCTGGAATGTTGTACATTTGCACTAAAAAGCATGTCCCCAAAGGTCTGGGACAAATCCGAATGGACTTTCCATGAACCTAGTTCTTCCCCAGACTTAAAGATGAGATGCGCTGTATACCTGGAGGTGGTGTGCACAGATAAGCATTGATGTGTGTGAGTAAGGGAGTTACATATATGAGAACATTTATCTCTGTCAAATCAATGTCCATTGGTTTTAGTTAAGAGTTCACTGATGCCCTGGTCGGTTTGGCTCAGCGGTTAGAGCATCGGCCCGCAGACCAGAGAGTCCCAGGTTCAGTTCCTGCTAAGGGCACATACCTCGGTTGCAGTTTGTCCCCAGCCCCAATTGTTGTCATGTGGGTAGCAGCCAGTCAATGTGTCTCTCTCACATCAATGTTTCTCTCTCTCTCTTCCTCCCTCTCTCCCTCTCGCTCTATCTGAAGATGAATGCAAAAATGTCCTTGAGTGAAGATTTAAAAAAAGAGCTCATCAATGAAGTGTTTATTGAGCACCTACTTTGTATAGAGCACTCTACTAAATGCTATTAGAAAAAGATTAGGGAACAATGCCTTAGTCCCGTGTTCCCACCTTTTCCTAGGATTTTGTATTATCTAGTTTGTCAGGCATGGGTCCACTGCAGGGGCTGTAAGTTGACAGCATCCAGAAGTGTTTGTTCGCATAGCACAGTGTTCGAGTTTTTTTAATGCCATTAGGTTGGGCATGCATCTCCAGTGCCACAGGCCTGCTATTCCTTCCTGTTCTACAGGACTGCTTAACCCACATGTGATGATCTGCCTGGAACCCAAAGGCAGTGAGTTTGCATCCCCTGTCCAAACTGTGCTGGCTGAGAAAGCTGTGTAATTTTCATTTGGCATCTCCCAGATTGGTGGTTCTCAAACCTCAGTGTGCATCAGAGTCATATGGGATGCTTATTAAAAAGGTTGACTCCTGGACCCTCCCCAGCACTTACCAGAACAATCCCTGATAGAGGAATCTTGTAGTCTACATTTTAAAAAAGTACCCTAGGTGACTGACACAGGCGGTTTGGTGGTCCTACGCTACTTACTATGAGCGCCCATCCCTACCAACACAGTAGGTACTCAGAACTGTTTTCCTGTTGAGTCTCTGCCTCAGAGGTGGAAAGGGAGCTGTCTGTGGTCTAGACCAAGTGTCAGGAAAGGAAAATGCCTCTTTAGTCTCACTATGAAAATAAAGTGATTCTCATAACTGTAGAATCCCAATGTATCCATGCTGGATGGGATCTCAGAGATTATTTCATGAACCCACTCATTTTGTCAGTGTGAAAACCAAGACTCGGATCCATTTTATTTGTTTATTGGACATTTATTGAGAGCCTATCATGTGCCAGACACTGCAGTGACTGGCCCCTCGGTCCCAGTTCTCTTAAATCCGATTCCTTAGCCGCCACCCTTGCTAAGACCTAGTAGAGTGTTATATACATAGTGGGTACTTTTGACAGACAAATGAATGAATGATCAGCTCAAATGAAATTTGCTGTGTGGGAAACTGACAACAGTACATTTTCAACCAGATAGAGAAAATGGTTGGACCCTTACAAAAACTCTTCATTTGCTCTCTTTAATATCTTGATTAATGGCATTCTCCTTCCTCTTTCCATGTAATCTCCCCCACATACATTTTTCATGGTTTAAAAATGCATATCCTATGTTGTTTATATGGAAAAATATAATAATTGTATCTATGATAGTTCTAAATCTAGGGCTTATAACATTGACCATCTTTGGGTTAAATTGATGATAGGCTAACATTCTACGTGGGGTTATACATTCTCCTGGTAGCCCTCGAGCTCATATCTACTGCGTGCCGACCCTGGAAACCCTCTCTGTCTCCTCCAGGGAAATGGGTGATCCACCCCTCGGAGCTCACTTTTGTGCAGCAGATTGGCAGTGGGCAGTTCGGACTGGTGCATCTTGGCTACTGGCTCAACAAGGACAAGGTGGCCATCAAAACCATCCAGGAAGGAGCTATGTCGGAAGAGGACTTCATAGAGGAGGCTGAAATCATGATGTGAGTGGTCCAGACAAGAGTATGCAAAGATGCCTTGGGGAGGGTGTTCTGTGCTGTATTCCTTAAATACCACTCCGTGGCCATATTGTGCCAGCTCCCTGTTCCAGTTCAGCGATGACTTCCCATGACATGGAGAGTAAAATCACACTCTCACCATGGTCTGCAAGGCCTGTGATGGTCTGGCCCAGTGGCTCATGAGTCTCATCTCCTCCTCCTTCCTCTGGTTCACGACATGCCAGCCACACTGGCCTCTACTCATCCCCACACACATCAGCTGACTCTGTGCCATCCTTCGGGTCTAGGCTCAAATGACACATTTTTGTTTGTTTGTTTTTTGAGGGGTGCATTTTTGGGAGACTGAGCTTGGACCATCTCACCCCTTGCCTTTTTCCTCCAGGAAACTCTCTCACCCCAAACTGGTCCAGCTGTATGGGGTGTGCCTGGAGCAGCACCCCATCTGCCTCGTGTTTGAGTTCATGGAGCACGGCTGCCTGTCGGATTACCTGCGCAGCCAGCGGGGCCTGTTCGCTGCAGAGACCCTGCTGGGCATGTGCCTGGACGTGTGTGAGGGCATGGCCTACCTGGAAAAGGCGCATGTCATCCACAGAGACCTGGTAAGAGTGCAGAGCAACCACCTTCAGATCCAGGAGGAAGGGCCAGTGACATGGAGAGCTGCCAAGACTGGGACTGCATTGGTCAATAACAAGGCGCACACGGTCTCCCTCCCCCTCCCTACTTTCTCTCTCTACCCGCTTTGGAAGGGCCTAGTGGGACAGTGTTTCCTGGGGACTTAGACTGGCGCTCTGATCACAGCCCCACCTCTGACTCTCACCCTCTGAGAGTCAGTTTACATTCTTCCAAACGAGGGAAGTGGACAGTTTTTCTCAAAGTGTTATCCCAGGATCTGCTAGAATCACAAGGGGGCGATCCCAGAACTATCCTTGGACTGTCTGGGGGTTGGGCTCAGGAATACTTATTTTAACATGACCCATCATGGGATTGTAGGCGCATTAAAATTTGGGACTCGCTGGAGTCTTTCATGGCTAAGGGCTCTTCCAACGCAACTTTCTAGGGTACGAATTGCGGACCAGGTTCTCTCCCTATTGAGAAACAGCTCTAAGAGGATTAACATCTTCAAAACACAAATGCGCTGACAGTCTCTTCCTAGCAGCCCTAATGTTAGCATTTTTTTTCCCACATCCAGTTGCATTAGAGCATATCATTGATTAGACAACACCTTGGATTTCTCTTCTAATAAGCATGCCAGAAATGAAGATAAAAGACCCAACTTACTCATCTAGATAAAGGATCTTACACATTCCTTTCTAGCCAGCTTCTCTTGGGTGTTCGTGAAGGTGAATTAACATTTGTAGAGCTCCTCACTGCCTTTGTACAATAGCACCTAAAAAAAGCAAAGGACCCTGCTTGTAGGAGACTCCTTAATTACTGATGATCCGCCAACGCTTTCTCTTTCCCTTTCATTGGCCTGTCTCCTCTCCAGGCGGCCCGAAATTGTTTGGTGGGAGAAAACCAAGTCATCAAGGTGTCGGACTTCGGGATGACAAGGTAATAGGGGGACGAGATGCTGGCACAGCCTCAGCAGTGGGACTCAGGCCCCCAGAACATTCGGACATCCTCTCTCCACTCTCTGCCCAGGTTTGTCCTTGATGATCAATACACCAGCTCCACAGGCACCAAATTCCCGGTGAAATGGGCATCCCCGGAAGTCTTCTCCTTCAGCCGCTACAGCAGCAAGTCGGACGTGTGGTCCTTTGGTGAGTGTCATCCTGGCCCCACACCCACGTGATCTGGGTCTACTTGCCCTTGACCTCTGGCTGGTGAGGGAGGCCCACTGTCAGCCTCTGTGCAATAATAGCTCTAAAAAGTATGAAGAGGCCCTCCTTACTGTGTCTATTCTTAAAGATCTTTGAAATGGGGGGGGGGTGTAAAAATGACAGTGCAAATTTAGGGTTCTGGGGGTTGCTGTGAGATCCAAAGCTGGAGGAGTCAGGAGATTAGACTAGGAGTCCCCTGAGGGCCAGAACCATATTTGTCCAGTATTATAACCCCACACTTAATCCTCAGTAACTGTTTACATTCAATCCTCAGTAACTCATTCATTCAACAACCATTAATAGAGCATCTGCTGTATGCCAGGGCCTAATCTAGGTGCTCACAATACGTGATAGATAGGATAGGAAAACTCCTATTGGGGCCGAATTTTAGGAGGAGACACATAACAGTTGTAGAAGCAAGCCAATCGACATGGCTGAGATAAAGTCAGGTCGTGGTAAGTATGTGCTATGAATGAAATAAAGTGATGGGATAGAGAGTGGCTGAGATAGAGAGAGGGTCTGTTTTAAATACAAAATCTGGGAAGGCCTCTGTGAGGAGGCGACTCTTGGGCAGAAATCTGAATGATGAGGGGGAGCGGTCTCCATTCAAAGATCCAGGGATCAGCATCCCTGACAGAGGAACCAGCAAGGGCAAAAGCTTGGTGTGCCCAAAGAGAAGGGGGCAAACAGTAGACGACGACGTTGGCAGGCCATGGTTAGGAATTAGAATTTCTAATAAGTGAAAATGGTCATCAATGAGAGGCAGAAGGAATGGTGTTGGTGAGCCAGGACATACTAAATGTTCTTGCCGGGTTAGTCACAACACCCTACGCCATCATTGGTGCACACTGAAGTCTGCACAAAACCATACCAGACGACCTCTTTGTTTTGGATCACAAGAAGGGTCATACTCTGGACAGGAACAGGATGGAGTCTGATTTTTTGTTCTTTATGAAGGGAAGGTGTGCCCAGGGTATTGACCAGTAGTAGAAACCAGGAAGAAGCTGACTCATGAAATCTCTTAGGAGAATCCCTCATTTTAAAGTCTTCTCTAGCATTTTAGAATCTCCATTGCCTTCATCCAAGTAGTTTGAGTCCTTCCGAACTGGTCCTTAAAACGGTTCCCTTCTTCAACGGGCCTAGCTATGATTTTGTTAGCCAAATTTAAGTTACAGAATGAATTTGGAAGAAATAAAATTGCACCAGAGCAATCTCAGAAGATCTCCCCCCCCTCCCCCCATATAACTAGGAAGGGTAGGGCTGGTATGTGGCCACTCTCTCCTGGTGATGCATTGGTCACGCTGCACCCCGCTGGATGTCCCAGAAAGAGATGTTTGCAACCATGGCCGCTCGGGCACATTCTCCTTCTGACTCTGAGTGCCACAGGTGGTCAGCCTGAGTTGAACTAAAGTCCACTCCTGCCTGGGACGAGTCATCTGCAGTGTACAAAGTTGAGATTAGCTGATAGAAGCAGACTAGAAAGGCTGACAAGACTGGGTGATAAGCCTGAGAAAGAAAACTCTGGGTGGACTCAGCTTGATGCCGGCCTCAGGCCATTGAACTCTGTCATGCCTTTTAAGGTTTTGTTCTAATTAGCTATTTTAAGTGAGTCAGGTTTGGGCTTCACTGAAGTTTCTCATCAGTGCAATATACAAGGTTTGCATGAAGCAATTGTTTTCAAATCAGCTTTGAGCCTCCACCCCCCAACCCCCCATTTTCCAAGGAAATCTCACTAGAAATCCTGGTACCTTGGGGTGCTGACAGTCTTATTTACAAAGAGGTTCTGAATTTCTAAAACTCTTGAGGCACCCCTGAGGACCCCTCTGCAATTCTGGTCCAGTGGTCTGGGCTGGGGCCCAGGATCTATCATTTGAACAAACTTCTGAGGTGATATTTATTCAGACGTTTTGGGGATCAAACACTGAAAAATCCTGCCCTGAAGTTATCTAGAATATGTTTTGAAAACAACTGGGTTAGGTGATCTGCAAGCTGTCTTCCCACTCTGATATCTACAGATGTATTAACACATAAAAAAGCTGGACGTGACCTTTATACTTTGGGCAGAATAGGAAAAGGGATTACATCAGGTTGTCCAAAATGGACATCCTGAAGATGTGTTTTACTTCATCTGCACAGTATTTTTAAAAATCAAATGGAGTTTATATTTTAAAACTCTCCATATATGACTTCTTTCGAAAAATCAGAAAATATGAGAATCCTGAGCGCATTCCCATGTGCCCTAACTTGCTGGAGCTAAATCACAGCTGACCCATTAAGACAGAACTTTTTACCTTCAGTTTTCCACAGTCCCCACTAGTCCCTATTACACACCTCGCCCACTTCACTCATTCAACATTGTGTGTAGACATTTGAGTTTATGGCCACTGCAAGTTTTAGTACTTAGCATTTGAGTTAGATATAACAATGGGCTGAGCTTGACCGTTCTTCACCACTAAGACGGCTGAGAATTCTCTGTTCTTTAGAAATAGTGCAGGCCTAATAAGACTCAGGTGGCTTGAAACTGTAATTCTTGGAGGGAGGGACTTGAGTTTCCATGTCAATCATATCTGTGATTTCTAGGTGTACGTTTGTTTGTTTGCTATTTTTGAACTTTATCATTAGCTGAACTGCACTCGCCATTTCTTGTAGGGGTGCTGATGTGGGAAGTCTTCAGTGAAGGCAAAATCCCGTATGAAAACCGAAGCAACTCGGAGGTGGTGGAAGACATCACTACGGGATTTCGGTTATACAAGCCCCGGCTTGCCTCCTCGCAGATCTACCAGATCATGAGTAATTGCTGGCAAGAGGTCAGTAAAGGAAGTGGTTTCCCCCTGCAATATAACCTACAGCTTCAGGGACTGCCCCCTTCCCTAGAGAAAGGAATTCTTTTCCAGGGTGAGTCAGCTGGGATGAATGAAATAGATTAACAGGAAAGTGACTTTGAGTATCTATTAACTAGAGAGGTTTCCCACCCTTAAAAGATCTGCCAATGACCTTAAGTATAATTTGATTTGCTACATAATGTCATAAGCCATCAACATATTGTCAGAGAGAAAGAGGGGGTGAAGCCTATGTCAGCATTTCAGTTTTCTGAGAAAAAATATTGTGTGTAACATCGTAAAACCATTGCATGTACATAACGTCAGTTCTATAAATTGGGGATCAGAAGTGTACTTGTGCTGTGAAAATATTAAAATGACTTAGAGTTTATTTTATTCATTCAACAATTCAGAAAGGGAATCCAATTACTCTGCCCCTCCCAGATGTCTCAGGGCATGCCTTCAACCACATCGCATGAGTCTTAGATGTCCTTTGGTGAGTTAGGAAATTGCACATTTCAACCAAAGTTGAAAGTTGCTGAAATAGGGAGTTAATACAAATTCAGATCATTGACTGGCAACAAGGTTGAATTAAAAAACTATAGAATACTTGGGTTTTGCCTCAGCTTTGCTTTGTGTTAGTCATTAATCTTAGACAATTCTCTAATCCTCCTCTTTCTTACTTAGTAGAGAATTAAATAATGCTTGATTTGTAAGTTCATAGATCCTTATAATCAGAAACAAACAAACACAGGCACAAAACAAATCTAGTCCATTTCATAAGGGTTAAATACTGTAATTATGATGACTGACATTTATTTAGCACTTTGTTTTTTTAACTTAATAAACTATTGTTTAGTAGTTTTAGATTTACAGAAAAAATGAGCAAATAGTACACATACCCTCCTCCCCTATGAATAACATTTTGCATTAGTGTAGTATATTTATTATAATTAATCAACCACTAGTGATACATTATTAACTGAAGTCCATAGTTTACAATAGGTTCCCTCTTTGTGTTGTGCAGTTCTGAGTTTTGACAAATGTGTAATATGTGTCTACCATTATAGTATCATACAGAACAGTTTCACTGCCCCCAAATCCACTGTGCTTCCCTCCTCCCCAAACTCCTGGCATCTATTGATCTTTTTATTATCCAAGTTTTACCTTTTCTAGACTGTCACACAGGATGTAGCCTTTTTAGATTGAATTCTCCCACTTAGCTATGTGAATTTAAGATTCCTTCATGTCTTTTTGTGGCTTGCTAGCTCATTTGCTTTTATCACTGAATAATACAGTATTCCATTGTATGGACATACCACCATTTATTTACCCACTCACCTCCTGAAGGGCAACCTGACTGCTTCCAGTTTTTTGGCAATCGTGAATAAAGCTGTTATAAATATTTGTGTGTAGGTTTTTGCATGGACATACGTTTCAGCTCAATTGGGTATATATCTAGAAGTGTGATTATTGCATCTATGATAAGATAACACAGTGAGAAACTGTCAGACTTCCAAAGTGGCTGTACCATTTTGCATTCTCACCGGCAGGGGGAGCTCCTGTAGCTCCACACCCTCACCCGCATTTGAATTTCAGCCATCCTAATAGGTGTAGAGTGGTATCTCCAAAACAAGTGGCATCTTGTTTTAGTTTACAATTCCCTAATGACATATGATGTTAAGCATCTTTTCATATATTTATGTGCCATTTGTATATCTTCTTTAATGAGGAGTCTGTTTAGATCTTTGGCCCGTTTTTTAATCAGATTATTTGTTTTCTTGCCTTTAAGTTTTCAGAGGTCTTTGTATATTTTGGATATAAGTCCTTTATCAGATATGTGTTTTGAAAATCTTTTCTCCCAGACTATAGCTTGTCTTTTCATTCTCTTAACAGTGTCTTTTACAGAGTGGAAGTTTTTAAATTACAACAGTTTACCACCATTTTTTTCCCCTTTACGAATCATTGCTTTTGATATCATTCTCTAAAAACTCATTGCCTTCTCTTTTATCTTCTAGAATTTCTATACGTTTTGCATTTTACATTTAGGTCTATGATCCTTGTGAGTTAATTTTTGTGAAGGATGTATGGTCTATGTTGAAAATCATTGTATTGTACATGGATGTCCGGTTGGTTCAGGACCATTTTAAAAGCATCTTTTAAAAGCAGCAGTGGGGCCCTGGCCGGTTTGGCTCAGCGGTTAGAGCATCGGCCTGTGGTCCTGAGAGACCCGGGTTCGGTTCCCGCTAAGGGCATGTACCTCGGTTGCAGTTTGTCCCCGGCCCTGGTAGGTCGTGCCGGTGGCAGCCACTCGATGTGTCCCTTTCACGTCGATGTCTCTCTCTCTCTCTCTCTCTGTTCCTCTCTCTCCTTCCCACTCTACCTGAACAAAAAATGGAAAAATGTCCTCGGGTGAGGATAAACAAATAAATAAAAATAAATAAAAGCAGCAGTGGGCACTGCTACTGAATTCTAGTTTGCTGTGGGAACGAGCTGTGCACAGGTGCAGGGAACTCAGAGTCCTTTTCTTCCCTCCCTAGAAACCAGAGCAGCGGCCCTCCTTCTCCAGGCTCTTCAGACAACTGGGTGAAATTGCAGAGATGGGACTCTAGCAGAGCCCACAGATCCCGAGTCGCGAGAGAAGTCCTACCTCCACAGAGAATGAAGAGCTGCCACCAGCCCAGGACTCCCCAGAGGCAGCCGGCCTGTGGTGCCAGGTCCTGAGCTGCCACGGACGCAGCACCCTGACAGAGGCTGGCACTCGGCCACGGGCAGGAGGCTTGGCCAACGAACTGGGAGCAGGGCCAGAGCAGCGGCCATGTCTCTACCTCCCCTCCCGCCTCTTATCTTGGGTGGTGCACTAACCTCAATCTGACAGCTTTCAGGCAACATTTCTTGCACTTCTTCTTAGAGAGAGGGGGCGAACGCGGGTAGGACCCTGGATTGTTATTTCATTGTCATTTTAAGCGTGGATCTAAGGTTAACAGTCAGGGACTTTCTCTTTGACCTGACAACAGAAAATCCCAGGGGCTGGGGCCAGAGCAACGAGGAGCAGGACTCCTGATCAGGGAGAACTGTGAGTGAGTTAAGGTCGGAAAGAGTAAGCTCCTCCACTGTGATGCTGTCAGCCACAGCTTCCTGCCCCAGAGGAGGGGGCGCGGCTGCTCACATCAGAGGCCAGATGTTCTGAGAATCGGCTTTATGAGGTTTTACTCAGAGTACCCTGCCACCCTTCTCCTTGAAGGGCGCGTTATGGATTTGGGCGAGCAGTGTCAATCCCACATTTGGAGTGTTGGGTATCTGGTGTCTGGGCAGAAAGAACCCACTGGTACAGAGACAGACCTTAGGTTGTTACCACGCTGATGCTCACCTTTAGTACTAAGCCAGGCAGGTGACTGTGCCTCCCCTTCTGCACAGGACGCTCTGCAGGCATCCTGGGAGGAAACGGTTGCTTCTGAACGCACTCTCTGCCTGAGGACTCTGCCATGGAGTCCCCCCCCCACCCCCACCTCCAGGCATCAGCCCCCTCTTTGCACTCTTCCATCAACAACAGAGGGCAGCATTGTGCTGGGCAGGGCAGTCTTGCAGAGAAACAGAAGCTTGTTTAAGCCCTAGAGATTCGCAGCTTTAAGGTTGAGACTTGAAATCTCCCAAAGTCCTGGGAGAGGAACAAGGGGGTCTGTTCTTGCTGAAATCATCTGGATGGAAACTGAGTCAGGCCCAAAATGGGGCGCTCCTAAGATACATAGTGATGGCTACTGTTGATTGAGCACCTAAATATGCAAAGTGAATATGTACTGAGCTACTAGCCTTCTCTGCAGTTCACCCTGAGTTCACACCAACCTTGTGAGGTAGTATTTTTCCCATGCTACAGATAGTAAAACTGAGGTTTAAAAAAGCCAGGACACCTGCTAAGAAGTATAGAGCCCAGGATTCTAACCTACATCAGTCTGACTCCAATGCAGTTTCTTTATTCCTATTCAACACTGTCTTTTACCAAGGATGAAAGGGATTGGAGAGGAGAAAAATACAGCGGAGGGGAAAGGCAGAGAAAGCCAATAAAAACACCAAGAAAGCACCACCAGAAAGTAAGGTTGCTCCTGTGTAGACCACTGTGGTTGGCGCTGTGGCCATCCAACTTGGAATAGATCTTCTCTATCCTCATCAGTAGCCCCCCCTTTGTCAGAGTTAATGAGTTTGGACTTACTCAGTTAATTAACCCTTTGATTCGCTCAGCCCTCCAAAGTTGACAGCGTGAAGTCATTTATAGATGAGCTTCAAAGCAGCTTGGGAAGATCGTCCTGCAGCAGTATAAAGGCTCTCTAATTATTCCAACATTGAGCTGGCTGCAGTCTTCTTGGACACTTTGTGGGGTAAGGTATGTATTCCCTGATGTAAGAGACAGTTCATTTTCCTGCAGGGTTCAGATAAAACTCTTGGAGTAGTTGCTGCGTGGTGTTGCAATCAGCTCTTTCTAAACCATGTGATATTTTGACCAGCTAGAGATTCAGCTGCATAACTTTTAACCATAATTATTGTGGAACTGGGAGCTCCAAGATAAAACTCCATCATTCAGAAGATGATCTTCCTCAACTTGTCCAAAATCATCCCTGTGTACTCTTTGGTGCATCCTCTTTTGGAATCCTTAATTAGAGATGATTTCTGGAGCATCCAGCCTTGAAGGAAATCATCAGAGTTGACGGATCTCTGTGGTCTAGTTTAGGAAACTCACCCCTACCCCCAACCCTGCCCTGAGCTTGCATGGTATTATCTTGTTCAAGTTCAGAGTCCTTGGGGCCTTAACTGAATGTGTGTAGATAGTTCACCTCCCACTGTTCTAATCCTGCAAAAGGGGCCTCCAGCCTGTGTATTTTTTTTCCTAACATTTTGAAAATGGTGCCATGTGTTCACAGGGAATTCCCTCATGCAAGGTTTTGGTTCAGGATGCGTTTTATAGTTTCTGCCTGTTGTACTTTTTGAGACTATGTATTTATATATGCATAGATTAGATATTTATTAGTATACAGTCATTGCTGGTGTTCACAATAAAAATATTACACATATCTCTTACCCTTCATAAATCACACGGAGGTAAAGGTTGGGTCCGGCAAATAAAGCTGAGCCTTGTAATAACTACAGTGTGTGTGGCCTGGGTTTCTTAGTTGTCCAAATGTCAAACAACCACAGGTTTTCCTTAAACAAAAATGGTTACATGGTTTCACATTCCACAGACAAGTAAAAACTGTATGTCAGTCAACATTTGTTCGCCAGGTAAATATCCAATGCTCCCCAGGTTCCTATGACAAGCTGTGCTGAGCGCTGCGGAAACAAAGATGGAGAAGATGCAGCCTTTACCTTTAAGAAATGGCAGCTGTGCCCTGGCCGGTTTGGCTCAGCGGTTAGAGCGTCGGCCTGTGGTCTGGAGAGACCCGGGTTCGGTTCCCACTAAGGGCATGTACCTCGGTTGCAGTTTGTCCCCGGCCCTGGTTGGTCGTGCGGTGGCAGCCACTCGATGTGTCCCTTTCATGTCGATGTTTCTCTCTCTCTCTCTCTTCCTCTCTCTCCCTCCCACTCTATCTGTACAAAAAATGTCCTCGGGTGAGGATAAAAAAAAAAAAGAAATGGCAGCTGTGGTTGGGATGGCAGACAAATAAACAAGTAAAATGATGTATAATAGAGCAATCAGAGCAACAACAGAAATACGGTCAAAGAAGAGAAGAGCTCAGAAAAACTGATGGAATCTATCACTTTTAATAGGGGGAGGGGAGGTCACGGCTGCTTGAAGCGTGGTCCCCAGACCAGCAACAGCAGTATGAGCAGCGGGTGAGAAATGCAAATTCTCCGGCTTCATCCCAAGACCCACTGAATGAGAATCTACATTTTAACACGGTTCACAGGTGATTTTATGCACATTAAAGTTTGGGAAGCACTGGCACAGAGGATAGCACGTCTGACTCAGTTTTTTTTTTTTTTATCCTCAACCGAGGACATTTTTTTTTCATTTTTTGCTCAGATAGAGTGGGGGGGGGGGGTAGAGAGAGAGAGAGAGAGAGAAACATCGATGTGAAAGGGACACATCGAGTGGCTGCCACCCGCACGACCAACCAGGGCTGGGGACAAACTGCAACCGAGGTACATGCCCTTAGCGGGAACCGAACCCTGGTCTCTCTGGACCGAAGGCTGACGCTTTAACCGCTGAGCCAAACCGGCCAGGGCTCAGTTTTGAAGATGAATTATGGTGTGATTTTTCAAGGCAAGCAGGTGGGCAGAAATAAGAGAAATACTTTACAGGTAGGGTTAGGATGATAGAAGGGGTAAGTAAATTGCAAGTGAGGCTATAAATCTAGGCAAAGACCATGTTACAAAAGATAAAAATAATGGAACTCGACCTATATAGAAAAGATGTCATTGAGCAAGGAGAGAAGGCCAAAACATTTTTTTAATATGTTTTTATTAATATTTTTTAGAAAAGGAAGGGAGAGGGAGGAAGAGCGAAACAACAACGTGAGAGAAAAGCATCAGTTGACTGCCTCCCACACAGGCCTGCACCTGGGCATGTGCCCTGACCGGGAATGGAGTTGGCGAACTTTCGGTGCGTGGGACGACGCTCAACCAACTCAGCCACGTTGACCAGGGCAAGGCCAAATTTGTGTTTAAAATATATTCTGGCAGTAGCGTGCTGAGTGGATTTGAGAGAGGCAAACTGGTTGAAAGGAAACCAATGTGCAGATGATTTCTGCCTTGCTCTTAGTACCGGATCAGTGTTCATACTCGTTCACTGCCTGCTGTGTGGGGGACATGTGGAGATTATAATGAAACAAATAGGTGTTCCGCTCCCTCTTAGAATCCCAGGGGTACAAAAGCTGGGTTATTACGTTTGGAGTGTGTTGCGCTCTCCCCGTACCTTCCAGTCCACCAAATGCCCATGTTCACTGGAGGGGCCAGTTCAGACTCCGGAGGACCAACAGACACAGGCGAGAGAGCCTGTGGCTTCCATACCAACCTTCACGGGACTCGCATCTGGGCTCAACTCCCACGGCAAATGATCCACAGAGGAAACTTCTAAAGGGGTTAGATGAATAGATCTGCTTGTCAGCGATCTTACCCTGCAGATCTTGCTCTCTCTAGAATCTTCCACCACACTGAGGTTCGCCACTCTGAGAAAGAGGCGGAATACACTCCATTCAGCAAGATGGGCTGTGTGTGTGTGTGTGCGCGTGTGTGTGTGTGTGTGTGTGTGTTTTCAATGACTTTGAGGTTCTCCCCCAAATCATGGTGTGTAGTTGGCTTGGGAAATAACAGAATCATACAGGTACTGTTAGAAAAAGTTATAGAGATTGTTCATGTATTTCACAAATAGTTAGCATTCACCTGTATTACTTGACATTGTGTTAGATGAATAAGATATATCAGTTGGGGACCAACCACACCCCCTTCGCATTAAGATCATTCAAGCAGGGCTCATTTACAAAAAGACTACTTAACCATAGTATGAGTCAGGTTTAGGATAACCACAGGAAGAAGAACAGTCAAAGAGCACCTACCGCCCCTAGGCCTGAAGAGACAGGGACGGTCATTTGAATGTGGAAGCAGAGGGTCACTTGGAGAAGGCTATCTCTAGAGAAGAGGACCTTGGGCGAGGAACAGAGGAAGCCCCAGGCAGCATCCCAAGGAGGAAGCCAGAGGAACAAACATGCTGACTCCACCCTCCTCCCTTCCCCTATCAACTGCTGAGGCTTCTTGTTAACCAAACCAACTGAAAAACAGAGGGCAAGGAAACCTAGTAGGGTGGTACCCAGAGGTCAGTCTCCAGGGGAGACAGCAGAGTGAGGAGGGCATAGTGGTCTGGAGGAGCAAGAGACACCAACCTGGTTGTCCCCAAATCCCATGCTCCCAACCATCCTGTGGGGCTGACTATAGGGCCACCTATGCCAGCCCGACAATACAGCAGCATTGACCCCACTTGATCTCAGCTATGCTCTTCCAGATCGATTTGGAATATGCTCAGGTCCTCCTAATCAGTTCTTAGCCAAACTTGATAGCAAAGAACATTTCTTCTTTATGTAAACAAAAATGCTGTTTACATAAAGAAGAAATGTTCTTTGCTATCAAGTTATGTGTGAAAGAGCTGACCTTCCAGGGAGGCAAGTCCTCTAGAAATTGTGGGAAATGAGCGAAGTGAGGGGAAGACAACAGAGGGGGGAGGGAATGCATTTCCAAATGGCCCACGACGGAGCTGCAAGGTTTCGACAGCAAAACATCCTTTAATGTTTCATCTATAAAGAAACAGACTCAGAGATGCAGAGAACAGAATGATGGTTGCCAGAGGGGAGGGAAGTTGGGGGCTGGGTGAGAAAAGTGAACGGATTAAGAAGTAAAAATTGGCAGTTACAAAACAGTCACAGGGACGTAAAAGTACAGTGTAGGGAATATGGTCAATAACTTGTATGGTGCCAGGGGATCACTTTGCAAAGTATCTGACTGTCTAACCACGATGCCACACAACTGAAATTAGTACAAAATAATATTGAAAGTCAACTGCAATTGAAAAACAGAAATTTCAAAATTAATGTATGAGACCAATACCTTAAAAATATTTCACCTATAAAATAATAGGGTGACTTCTAAGGATTTTGTGAGGATGAAATGAGCCCATCCATATACAGTACTTAGCATAGAGGCTGGCCCCAAATGAACAACAATACATTTTAGTTTTAAATGTATTCTTTAACAATTTTTTCATATTGAATGAAGGAAACAGGCAATCTAGTTTCCCACAGAAAGACACGAGTCTGGGTTTGGCTGGCCTTGAGCAACCCTTCCCCTTTCTGGGCCTCAGCTCTTTCATTGGTAAAATGAGGCAATTTTGAACAAGTGGTCAGGTTTGATCTAATGGACAATAAAAATTATGTAACTGACCATCAAGTTTCTCTTTTCCTGATAACTACACAAATCTTAACTACACAGACCAGATGTGTGAGCCTTCTGTAGCAATACAGAGATTTCATTTGTATTATTCACATTGTCTCTCCATCTCAAATTCTTTTCCTTCTTTCTCTTTAAAAATGTATTATTTATTAAAAGCCCTGGCTGGTTTGGCTCAGTGGTTGGAGCATCGGCCGGCAGATCAAAGGGCCACGTGTTTGATTCCTGATCAAGGGCACTGATCAAGGGCACATACCTGGGTTGAAGGTTCGATCCTTGGCCTGGTAGGGTCCTCTCTCTCTCTCTCTCTTCCTCCTCCTCCTCCTCCTCCTCCTCTTCCTCTTCTTCTTCCTCTTCCTCCTCCTCCTCTTCCTCCTCCCTCCCTCCCTCCCACTCTAAAAATCAGTGGGAAAATAACCTCAGGTGAAGATTAACAAAAATAAATAAATAAACAAAAACATTAAAAAATAATGCATCTCTATAATTTACATTAAGGATGTTTTTGTAATAAGGTGGCATATTAATGAACACATGGATTCCACTGGGAGGTGAATGAGGCTGTAGATAATTTTGATTAAAAGCATGAGTTTTGGTTTCACTACCTAGGCAAGTTATTTAACCTGCCTTAGTTTCTTCAGTTATAAACTAGGACTAATAATTATATTTTCCTCATAATTGTGAACACTAAATGAAGTCATTGCACTTGGTATATGTTCATCATTATTTTTAAAGAGGTTATCTATGATAATCTCATACTTTTTTTCTTTTGGCAATTTTTATTAATTTATTTTTGTTACAGATGTTACTCCTCTTTCTTTATTGATTTTAGAGAGAGAGGAAGAGAGAGGGAGAGCGAGATAAAAACACCGATGAATGAGAACATCGAGTAGCCGCCTCTTGCATGTCCCACCTGGGGACCAGGCCTACAACCTGGGCATGTGCCCTGACTGGGAATAGAACCAGTGACCTCTTGGTGCATGGGTCAATGCTCAACTGCCGAGTCACACCAGCCAGGCCATCATTATTATTAATATTAGTATTTTTCATTTCTTCTTCCAGAACCATTTCTTATGCCTATTACAGATACTCCACTATTGGTTTCTATGAAGCAGCGTCTGCAAAAATATATATATATTTTTTTATCCTCACCCGAGGATAGTTTTCCATTTTTTTTTTTGTACAGATAGAGTGGGAGGGAGAGAGAGGAAGAGAGAGAGATAGAGAAACATCGACGTGAAGGGACACATCGAGTGGCTGCCACCCGCACGACCAACCAGGGCCGGGGACAAACTGCAACCGAAGTATGTGCCCTTAGCGGGAACCGAACCCGGGTCTCTCCGGACCGCAGGCCGACGCTCTAACCGCTGAGCCAAACTGGCCAGGGCTGCAAAAATATTTTAAATGGTGACCTAGATGTC